GATTCCATCTGAACATGAGGAAGAACTTCCTGAGTGTGAGAGCCGTTCAGCAGTGGAACTCTCTGCCCCGGACTGGATGACCCATTAGGTCTCTTCCAACTCTTTGATTCTATGATTTATTTATAATTCAAATTTATATGCTGCCATTCCCCTGGGGCGCGGAGCGGCTTACAAGAACAGGCTAAAATCTAACACAATTTAAAAACAATTTAAAAACAACAATATCAGAGATCAAAGGCCTGATGTTGGTACCAAAAGGGCTACGAATTAGCTTTTGGTCAACTTTAGATTCAGTTTGGGGTGCTGATTATTTCTGAATCAGCTCTAGACCACATCAGCTCTAGTTTCTGATACAGAACATATGCCATGGTCAGCAACAGGGAAGAAGTGGCAGGCGACATGAAAGGAGCGGAAATCTATATAAATAAAAATGTAATGTTCGTTTGTGGGATTAACATAACTCAAAAACCGCTGGGCAAATTGACACCAAATTTGGACACAATACACCTATCAGGCCAACAAGCGACCATTACTCATAAAAACACTGAAAAACACAGCAGAGGAGACGTAAAAAGCCAAAAAACAACAACACATGCTTAAAACCACATATATATATGCAAACACATATATAGACATACACACAGATATACACACACACAAAACATCTACACAGAGTGGGCCACAGCAACGTGTGGCAGGGGGCAGCTAGTCTATATAAATAAAAATGTAATGTTTGTGGGATTAACATAACTCAAAAACCACTGGATGAATTGACATGAAATTTGGCCAGAAGACACCTGTCAGGCCAACAAGTGACCATCACTCATAAAAACACTGAAAAACACAGTTAAAGGGACTGAAAAAGCAAAAAGATGCTACAGCACATGCATAAAATGACTCCCTCTGGCAAACAAAACACACAATGCCATATCCACACTCTCTTCTCAACTACAGTTCCCAGCATCTCCTAAAGATCAGGCCCTTTAGGAGAGGAAGACGGTCCAAATGCACTGATTCCAAGATGCAAGCTTTCTTCTCCTTGGATTTCTTTGAGAGCATCCCAATACCTGCGTATTTCCAATTTCCTATTCCTGGACTGCAACTTCCAGCAATCCTCCAGATATGTAAGATAGATAGAGATGGATAGGTAGGTAGGTAGATTGATCAGGAGGACTGCTGGGAATTGCAGTTCAAGAATAGGTAGGGAAGAAAGAAAGAGGAAGGGAAAGAAGGGGGAAGGAAGGGAAGAGGAAGAGAAGGAAGGAGGGAATGAAATTAAAAAGGGAAGGGAGGAAAGAGGGAAGGAAGGAGAGAAAGAAAGGAGGAGAGGGTACACCTAGTAAAATAAATGAAGAGGAAGGAGACTCGCAGACCAGATTTTCGACCTCCCGGCCCACTGGTGGTCTGCGGCCCACAGGTTAAGAACCATTGGTGTAGATGCACTGTATCTCTTTGTTTATTTAGTGTCATCAATGTAGGGGGGCATCAATATATGAAACAAATTTGTAAAACTAAAGATCCCAGGATTCCATGGCCCTTAAAAGAGGTATAAACATGCATTCTTTCTACAGTGCGTTGATCAGGTATGGGCAAACTTGGGCCCTCCCTCCAGGTGTTTTGGACTTCAACTGCCACAGTTCAAGTCCAAAACACCTGGAAGGAGGGCCCAAGTTTGCTCATGCTTGGTGTATATGCACTCCATTTCTTTTCCTCTTCCTTGTTTATCTATTTAGGGCATTGGTTCCCAACGTGTGGTCCATGGATCACTAGTGGTCCGCAAGAACTAAAATATGGTCTGTAACCTCACCGTTACGAGAGTGACTGGTCTCGCGAAACCCTCTTCTAGTGTTGAGGCTTATTAAATATGGCTTTCTGTGGGCAAGCAGATGGTGACTACTGGATGGCATATGTTTTGTAACAGAAACTAAAGTAGATGTGGTTTATCCAATGCAATTATCTGAATCAGCACCCCAAATAACCAAACTGAATCTAAAGTTTATTTACTACATTTATATCCCATCCTTTTCACCACAGCATGGGGGCTCATAGTAGTTTGACCAAAAACTGAGTCATAACCCTTTTGGTACTAATATTGGAGAGAGGTCCCTGGCCAAAATGATCCCTGCTGAAAAAAAAGGTTGGGAAACACTGATTTACTGCCATCAATGTGCATATATAAAACAACCAAACGTACAATTTATAAAACAACCCAAACCTGCCAAAGGCATGCAACCTAAAATATATTGTTATATAATATATATAATATATATTTACAAATACATATATTATGCAGATCTATATGCCTGTATACACATTTACAGAGGGAAGCAATATTCTCCAATATTTATATCCTGCTTTTTCTCCTGCAAAGGAGATTTAAAAACGTTTCACACTAAAAACCATAACAATGTGTAAGTTAAAACTTGAAGCATATAAACCTTAAAACAGAATTAAAAACAGAACTATTTAAAACACATAGTTAAAACCAATTAAAATACCCATTAAACTATATCTAATATAAAACTACGGCTAAATGAAATGCTCTAGATGAAATGCAATTTTAAAAAATTAATCTCAAAACACGCTGATCAATACATGTAATGAAAATATAGGGTTATAAGACACACTGAAATTCTCAAAGCTTTAAAAAAGTTTCAAACAGATTTAAAGGTAATGCAGGAAAGAGGAGCAGTCTGCAAATGCTCCTTTGCTGTTGAGTAAACAATCTGTAGGGCTGGTTTTGAAAAACAACAATCCCACTGGGAATTTTCAGCAATAATTCACCTGGTGCTGCTCTCTTTTCATGGGATGCCTGCATTGTAGAATTACTGGAGTTTAACTGCTACGGATTAGTGCTATTGAATCCTGAGAGTTGTAGTTTTACAATGTATTTAGTCTTCTCTGCCAAAGAGTGCTAACACTTTGCCAGCTCTTGTTCTTACCGGTTTTCAGTTTGTATGCGAGAATACGACTTCAGAGACCTGCATTTTATAATGCTTTTATGATGACCATGTAGAAAGACATTTACTTTGTTTTTCTTTTGCATTTTGTCTAACAGCAAACTGGAGGCATTTTGAGAATGAGGCAATGCCATCTTCAGCCTCTTTTGGGACAGTGTCTGGTTTATTGAGTTTTCAGCATGTTTTCAGTTTGATGACTCCAGAAATAGGACCTTCATGGCTCATGCAATTAACCCTGCACCATTTGCATGAAAGCAAATAAGGAAGAAGAAAATGGAAAATGCTGTAGCTGCTTCAGTCAAAGCCATTTTTTTACTGTTCATTTCCTTGTGAATGAAAACACACACACCCCTACCAGGAAACCGAACTTTTTGATCTCACGTATGACACTTTCTTAAATGGAGCCAGCTCATTGCTCCATGTAGCCTAATATACTTTGACAAGCAGAATTCCCTCAGGCTTTAAGAACTCTTATAAAGGTGCCTCTACACAATATAATTCATGCAATTTGATAGCAACTGAACTGCTATGGCTTACTATAGAATCATGAGAGTTGCCATTTTACAAGTCTTTAGCCTTCCGTGATAAAGAGCGCTGGTGCCTCACTAAACTACAAGTCCCAGGATTCCATAGCATTGAGCCATGACAGTTAGCGGTGTCAAACTGCATGAATTCTACAGTACAGAGCCAGCTTAAAACTGCAAAGGGCAACAGATCTCCTTACTTGAATATACAACATCTACCCACAACGTTCCTGAAAACATGTCCTCCCCTTTCTCTTGATTGAGAAGGACTGCTGGGAGACTCATAGAATCAAAGAGTTGGAAGAGACCTCATGGGCCATCCAGTCCAACCCCCTGCCAAGAAACAGGAATGTTGCATTCAAATCACCCCTGACAGATGGCCATCCAGCCTCTGTTTAAAAGCTTCCAAAGGAGCCTCCACCACACTCCAGGGCAGAGAGTTCCACTGCTGAATGGCTCTCACAGTCAGGAAGTTCTTCCTCGTGTTCAGATGGAATCTCCTCAAAACTCAAAACTGACAGCTGCAGCATACACAATGTTTTGGGAGTTGATGCAGTCAGGCAAGTCAAAGGAGCCACTCTTAAGCTCAAGCTAATATGATGGACCTGTTTTCCTGAGTGTGGAACAGAATAGATGTTGGACATGTAGATGTTTGACCTCGTCTACTCTTTCTTTTTACATTCACAGTATTCATCTCAGGTTGCATCTACATGATAGATTTAATCTAGTTTGGCACCACTTTAACTGCAATGCCTCAATGCTATGGAATCCTGGAATTTGTAGATTGGTGAGACACTAGCACTATTGGGCAGACATGGTTAAAGACCTTGTAAAACTACAACTCCTTTGATTCTCAGCATCAAGCCATGGCAGTTCAAGTGATGTCTAACTGCATTAATTCTACAGTGTAGATCAGGCATGCGCAACCAGCAGCCCTCCAGCTGTTTTGGTCTCCAACTCCCAGAAGCCCTAGCCAGCTTTTAAGGAATTCTGGGAGTCAGAGGCCAAAACAGTTAGAGGACCACAGGTTGTGCAGGGCTGGTGTAAATGAACCCTGCCTTGTCTCTATTAGAGCTTACAAATTCTTTAAATTAGTTTTCAGCAGGAAAAAGTAGTATCTTGGAATCAGTCTTTCCAAGATGAATAATCAAATGCTTAATTATATCACAGAACCAGCTAGGCATAATGGATTAAGTGTTGGACTATGACTCTGGAGATCAAATCCCCACTCAGCCACGGAAATCCACTAGGTGAACTTGGGCAAGCCATATTCATCCAGATGAAGATCAAGACACCCCTTTGAAAAAATATTTCCAAGAAAACATTGTGATAGATTTGCCTGTTGAAGATGACTTGAAGGCACACAATAACAAACATTAACTATGGTATATTAAATCCAGTATTCTGTCCTCTCAAGCAGCAATGTAAGTCTTGGACCAAGGACCTACTTTCCACTGGAAGTAAAAAAGCAACATATCATGCCAGCAAAATACTGGTACTTATCTTTGATTCTGTCTAAAGACTGGTAATTTTTATACAGTAGTATTCAATTCCCTTTTCCTTGTATATTGTGCCTTATTTAGATTGTCAGCCTGAGGGCAGGGAACTGTTAATTAAACAGCCTTTAAGCCAGCCTGAGAGCCTTTGTGGATGAAGAGTGGGATATAAATTATTGTGTGCCTTCAAGTCTTTTTCCAACCTATAGCTTCCCAAAAGTACAGGGTGTTTCATTTCATTTTACAAGATCTGTGTAAAAGAAGTTTGACATTACATTCCTTTGAGACTTTGTACAAGGAACTGAGAATAACATATTTCTTGGCAGAAGTAGAAGAAAGACTTAAGATTATCAGTAAAAAGAAATGGTTGCAGATTTTTGTGTGCAAAAGCAGCATTTTCATTTGAATGGTTTTGGACAAAGGCATACGCTTCAACTTATGTTATGTCCGGGTCACTGTTATGAAAATGGTAAGAACTATGTCTGTATAGAAGTCGTTCCTACATTCCATTTTCTGGTATTAAAACGAGGAATATGTTCTGGGAAGGAAAAAGAAATTGAACAAACTCATTTCTCCTGTTAAGAAGAGCCAAAGTTAGAAAACCCACCAAAAGGTCATTTAAAAAAAAATGAAAGTACTGTAATATTTTTAAAGAAACCTAAATTTTCTCTACCATATTTCCTGCATCTCCAAGCAAAAATGCACCTCTTAATATGTAGTCACTACATATTTGGAAATTACTTCAAGCCTTAAAACACTGCCATTTACATAAATCAATGAGAATAAAAGATTTATGCATTTCTTAAAAGAACAGGCTTTGCTAAATATAGACTCTGCAGTTAAGTTTTGAAACAGCACAAATACAGACACGGAATACAGAAGCATTTTTAAAACTATACAAAATTTTAAATTGAAAATAATTGTTTATATTTTCTTTATACATTAACATACAAAAGACCTCATTTTATGAGGAATTAAAGAATCGAAACATTGCTAGAGCTATCTGAGAATTCAGATCTGGAAACAATTTATTACACTGAAGTTTTATAAGACTATACTAAATAAACAACTCAATATACCCTTTTTACAAGATTGGTATTTCTATATATTCCTCAGGTCTTTGCTTTTTATTTTTTTAGGCAGTTTAGAGGACGGACTATCCAACTGCTTTGTAAAACTCCTATTCTTTGATAACCAGATACTGAGTTTAAAACTGTGCAAACAAATCATTGAAAAATATTATCAGTTATTTTTTTCTGCCCATTATGGAGGCGAAATAGCAATTATTACCACTTTCTGGGAATTCAGCAGTTCTTTTCTACTCCTTCATTAGATTACTTTTATAAGTTACGATAAATTAAATATTCCAGAGATATTTAAACTGATTTACAAGGATTCCCAGTATCAGCAAGTGTACAACAGCTATCTATCCACTACTACTCCTTTGCAAACCTTACTCTGCTGCTACTTCCCAGGTACAGGAAATGCACACACTGCTTTACCAATCACTACACTTTCAAAAGGCAGTAAGACACAAGTACTAAGTACTATGGCTTTCAAGAACAAGTCAGTGCAAGCCCATGCCTATGACACTTCCTTTTCACTGTTTTCAAAACACATCTGTTAATAGTTGACAAAATAAGCTGCAATTCAATTTAAAATATTCTTACTTTATATAAAACATGTCTGCATAACTTTCAGCTTAAAACAACATATATACTTTTTAAACTAAGGGTTAGGTGTTCAAACAAGATACTGTATGTGCATAGCCAGTGATGAAGTCTATAGCGATGCTGGTAATTTTATGCTGGTTTCTTCAGAAGTACCTCAACCAGTCTCAAAATATCCTCTTTTTTCCTTTGTCTTCCAGCAGTCAGGATATTTGGTGAAGCTTATATAAGACGGTGTTTCCACAATTACATTCTGTACACTTGGGCCTAGGTGGACACTTCTCTCAGTCTCTGTTGGTGTTATTTGCAGAAAAGGCATGTAAATTTCCCATCTGGCTGAGTCCACTCTGAATGTGTGCAACGTGGATTTCAACATTATTCTGAAAACAACTGAAGGGGAAAAAATATTGTTAATGCTTCTAAAATGTCCAACATTATGAATGCATTCATAACATTTATGTTTGAAATGTGAATATTTATTACCTGATGTTTGTAGAGTCTATAGAATTTTTGATGTCATTTAATGAATCTGTTAAAGATTTAAACTCAAAGGAATTTAGATCACCTCCTTCTGCCAGACACTAAAATAAATAAGATTAGAATATCAAGATATAGTACAGGTTGAGCAGCTTTATCAAGTTCACACAACCACCACAAACTCTATGGGCACAAAGGTTATATATGCATGACAGGAAGACACAAATATGAGAAACCACAGTAGAGATGACTGTTTGCATCCTGCACAGGTGATGGAGGATTGGCTGACAATGATGTCTTTAGCTCTGCCCCACACTATGTGCATATTTGAGTATTGGTATCAGAAAAGTGATACCAATACTCAAATATGCACATGTTGTGGGGCAGAGCTAAAGACAAGACAAGCCCTGCTTTGAATATTGTCAAAGTGGCCTCTGGCATTCCTGTCCCTAAACAGGGGCAGCAATATTTTTTATTCTGTTAGTATCACTTACCTTAATCTGTAGTAATATTGCCGTAAGTCTAGCAATTAAATCAGTCAGGTTTTCACTTTGAACACAAGGCTGTCCTGTTGTTGATGTATTTGATTGCCTGACAATTTCCTGAGCTTCTTCTTCACATCTCCGTCTTAGATCGGTGGGATGATCTGCAGGCTGGAGACCTTGATCTGGGGCAAGCTGAGAGAAGAGAATAAGTATTTCCATTGCAACTCTCTGCAGCATAGTTGGCACAGTCAGTGGCCGTATAATTACCTCTCCTGCCTAAGATGGACTGCTGGGAGTACAGCCCTCCTCAACCTAGCATCTTCCAGATGTTCTGGATTTCAGTTCCCATGATCCCTCGTCATTGCATTAGAACTGGAATCCAAACATCTGGAGAGCACTAGGTTGGGGGAAGACAACAAAAGATCTACTTGCATTATGTATAAAAGGAAATAATCACTATTTTAATTACTACATAACAAAGCTTCAGTTACCTTCAGGTTGAATATTTTTTTAACCTAGAATTCCATTCCCTAATAATATCTAGGTTTCATTTAGTGAAAAAACACTGCTGTACATGCCCCTCTCTTTATATGGCAATGGGAGTAGGTTCTATCCCCCCCCCCACTCAGGGTTATTTAGATCAGGAGTGGGCAACTATGGTCCCCCAGTTATTTTTAGACTACTGCTCCCATGAACCCTCACCGCTGGTTATGCTGGGCTGATTGGAGCAGCAGCCCAAAATCTGGGCTGATTGGAACAGCAGTCCAAAATCTGAAGGAAAAGTTTACTTGTCTGTTTCAGCTTCTGCTTCTCTTTTCTTAAGACATATACAAATAGCCCCTCAATCCTGTAGCCTTCCAGTATGTCATATAACTTTTTCAATGGTGGGACATTCTGGGATTTAAAACCAGATTATCTGTCAGCACATTAGCCTTAATCCTGTATGGTGTGGAAGGTCAAGGCAGGGTCTGACAGTGGCACTTTAATGATGAGTAAAAGAGACTCTGTGAATTGCTTTATTTGGCATATTGCAGTGAAGTACCTTCCAGCCCATAATTAAACAGGACTTTTCCAGGTGGAATTACTACAGAGTAAAATGACACACTGCAAATCGAATGGGATGAAATTAGTGCAGCTCCCAAGCAACTGCCAGCAATCCTAACAAACATAGTTAATGTCAAAGGATGCTGGAAAATGCTGTTTAACAAAATCTTGCAAACTGCAAAGTTCCCACTTTCAAGATTCAAGGGCAACCTGTTTCTCTCTGCTGTCATTTACTGCTGGAAACTTCAAGGAAAAGAGGAATCACATAAGAAAGAAAGAAGTGGGGCATAACTTATGAATCATGTTACAGGAAAATTTACTCCCTCAATCACTCAGTACCTGATTGAGTGACAACATATTAGATCAAATTTGCTTGAACAAATCTTTTTGTATTCAAATAAGTAAAAGGGATAAAAACCTTTATTTCTTTGGATGAAAACTGGTTATTCTTAGAGTAGGACTGGTGTAACAAGTGGAGTGGATGTGTAGGCATGGGGAACAGGAATGCATATGTCTATGATGACTGTAGCTGTGTTTATTTGGAAAGTACCGAGCTATATTTTACCTCATAACAATACTGTTGGACTTTATGCAGAACTTTGTTTAGATCCTTGTTCAGCTGTTCAAGATCTAAAACAATTGTTGCATATCTTCTCTGGAATTCAATACCTATGGGCATAGAATAGGATTTCTGTACAAATGACAAAAAACAAAACAAAATTTAAAAACAAACTAAGGACACAAAGCAATAATCTCTCATATTTATTTATTGCATTTAACCTTTATTACACACTGAACACTGGATTTTTCTGTAAAGAATGTTATGTATTATAGTAGCTTTTGTTATTCTTTATTTGTGAAGTTACGGTTTCTTTACAATATTTGCCATTTTACCTAACCTCATTAGGAAATTGTGAACATATTTAAATTCCTCATGAAGTATCACCAAGAACGGCCTTTCAGTATTAGGTGTTTGAAATAAATCTGAATTGCTCAGGTTGATAGTGCCTGAACCTGTTTTTATCATTGGCAATAGTATGATAGCTAGGACCCTACGCTACTTGCACAACGTGGGTCAGAATTAATGAAGGGAACACATGAGTGAGACTGTGGAGCCATTGAGAGACACAGCTGCAACAGGATAACAATGAAGTAATTTAACTCAGGAGGGACAGGATAAGGGTGAGGTAATATAACAGTATTTTCCCCCTCCTTTTTATCCTTCTTTCCATTGGTCGTCTTTCCCCCCTCGTTTTTACCCTTCCTTCCATTGCAACGACTTTGCTGCAGCTGCCTCTCTCACTTGGAGCACTCACTTGTGCACGTGTTCCCCTAATTCAGACCCATGTTGCGCAAGCAGCGTAGTGTAGGGTCCCAGTTATCATACGATTGCCTTATCATCTACTTTCCTTTTTATACCAATCACACTGATGACCACAGATATTTTGCATAATTTTGCATAATTCAAACTGTGGCCAAGGTCCACATGCACCCATCTGATGAATTTAATGGAACTACTGGGTTAGACACACATTTAACTACGCTCTAATTAGGGTAGCTGAATGTAAAAAGGATAGGACTCCTATACTTCTGTGCAGAAAAGGAAATCCTGGCAGTTGTATCTTTGATGACAACTTAAGGAGCACTCTATTTTGTTTGGAAGGGGATCCAGCTGAGAGCCACTTTCCTTTAGCTAACAACTGCCACAGCTATGGCCACCAAAGGAAGATAAGAGGTAGGAACACTTCCATTGTGCCTAGGCTTGATAACTAAGAATCCAATATCTGAATTTGCTGTATTCCTCTTTTTCTTCCTTTCTAGTTTTGTGGAAGGCCTTTTAAGACCACAAGACTATGGTCAGAGATTGTCTTATTTCTGGTATTGATAAAATAATATACATAAAGCCCATCCCAGTGGGGATGACACAGAAGATGATTGCATTGATGCAAAGGATTGCCAGGAAGTTGCACCCATATTGGGAGATGCATCAAGCAAAGTGGAAGCTCAGAGTGAAAGATTTCTGTCTAGTGCTACAATGAGCTCCTGGAAGTATAAGCTAAGTAACAGAAGGGTGGTCCTCACTTCACATCATTGGTTCTGTGTGAGGCCCATCAGCACAACTTAGGGATGAATGAGTTTTGAATTCCACTGGAAGCAATATGAATAGATAACCTGTGCACCTTGTTTACAAGGCTAAGTATCACTTTTAGGAGATGTCTTCAAATGCTGATTTGCAAAGAATTTAGCCTGCGAATGGCGAGTAATGAAGATAAATAATATATCTGTTATAAAATATAATGGGCAATGTGTTATTCTTTTAAATAACATCCCATGATGGTGAAACTACACAGTATTTTTTAAAAAATTATGCTCTATGTGTTGTCGAAGGCTTTCATGGCCAGAATCATGTTTTGTCTGCATCTATGGCAAGCATCCTCAGATGTAGTGATCTCACTACCTCTGAGAATGCCTGCCATAGATGCAGGCAAAAGTCAGGAAAGAATACTTCTAAAACATGGCCATACAGCCCGAAAAACCTACAACACCCCTTATTCTCTATGGTTTTGTTCTTTACTTTGAAAATTTTATATTGAAAATCAATGTATCAATCTTCTACTCAAATGAATAAAGGATTGTGGGGCCACAGTATTTTATTGTTTCTCCCTCTCATCTCTTTCCCATTGCTACCAGAACATGAGACTGGGAGGAGGACATCTGGCTAATTAATCCATTAAAAACAATTCTGCCAAATATTCTCCGATGTATTCCTAAATAGCTTTCCTCTAAATATGTTTCAGTTTTGACTATGGTAGAAAGTTCTTTAACTCTCTCCTGATTCACATGAAAACATTCAACATTGATAATATTGAAGAGATGATAGGAAAAGCTTGAAAACACGTGGGAAGGATGTAGAAGATTTCAATGTGAATTCTGTTGTGTTTGGCTTTTATTTGTACTAAAATAATTTTTAAAACCCAGGAGCTAATTGAAACAAGGTTAGATATTTACCAGTTTTTCTGCTTCTGTGTTCATTTCTCTTAACTGCTTTATGTGTTCCTTCTTAATCATAAGAATTTTTGATAATCTGGTCTGAAGAAAAGAATATAAAACGTTTCCTGAAGAATATAATCATTTCATCAAATTTTAATACATATTATAGAAATGAAAACTTCATGAAGCAATACTGTTTATATAGCCGACATGAGCTGGACACTGATGAAATGTACACATTGTTTATTTATTCATAAATCAACACAAAAAACCTGGGCCAGCTTATCCATGGGTCAGTTACTGTATTTTAACTCTTATAAAAAGAGGAACATTCCTCTTCTCTAATTAGAGGAACATTCCTCTTCTCTCCATGCCAGGAGAACCTATAGGAAACACTGGTCTCTTCTACTTTTCTGATATAGTGCCACTTCTGGTCTTTTTGCATGCCTGGCTGTGGAAGTGGCAGTCAAGGGCAGCCAATTTCCTTCCCCACAGAAGGACCCTCAACTTCTGCACAGGGCATATCAAAATCCTTAATTTTGGCCCCAAATCTTGACCTTGACTGGTACATGAGGTTGGATTATGAATGAAAATATGGACTTTCAGATAATACTTTCAAATGTCCATAAGTGCCATTGCCTCGGGGCAATTTCCTAGCCCAAAACTGTCTAGATGTTTTGTTCTGTGGCCATAGCACAAAGGTTTGTCTGTATAACTAGAGCAGCCTTGAGCAAGCCATGGCTTCACAATAATAATCTTTTAAAATATGAAGTCTCCTGGTACATTAAGTGTACCAAAGAAAGCCAGATACATCTCTCCTTTTTTAAAGAAACAGTTATAAAAACTATCCCCCAGCCAAAATATTCCCTAGCCAAGTGCTTCTTAAATTTTTCCCATTTGTGGTAGATTTTAAGACAATTTTAAAGCATGAATTTTAAACTCATGTCCTTTGTTTAATCTTCGTTTTGTGTAGGGTATTTTAATATGTATTTTATAGAAATACATTTTAATATGTGTATTTGTGGTATTTTTTTTACAATGTTTATATGTTTTAGTTATTTTGCAACTCACCTAGAGCCATGAGGAGAGGCAGGTAAGATAATAATAATAATAATAATAATAATAATAATAATAATAATAGTCAATATTGCAATCCCAGGTGACAGCAGGATTGAAGAGAAACAACTAGAAGAGCTGACACGATATGAGAATTTAAAGATTGAACTGCAAAGACTCTCGGACAAGCCAGTCAAGGTGGTCCCAGTGGTGAACGGCACACTGGGTGCAGTGCCTAAAGACCTTGGCCTGCACTTAAACACAATCGGCGCTGACAAAATTACCATCTGCCAGCTGCAAAAGGCCACCTTACTGGGATCTGCACGCATTATTCACCGATACATCACACAGTCCTAGACATTTGGGAAGTGTCCGACGTGTGATCCAATACAACAGCTAGCAAAGTGAACTTGTCTGCTGTGGACTCATCTTGTTGTGTTTCAAATAACAACAACAACAACAACAACATGGTATTATTATTTTCACCTGAGAAATTTGTTATGTAGGTATATAAACAGGCTGATTTTCCCTTTTTATGAAATATAGCTGAAACCTTTTCTGTAGAGTCTAAGTAAATACTACAAATTGTTGCTAAGAGATTTGTGTAATATCTAAAACAGCCATGACTAGGTAGCATTTTACTGTTGTCATGTTTTTTGCAGCTCCAACATTGAGCTAAGAGGACCCCATTGGTGGTCAGAACCCACAGTTTAACAAGCAGAGGCCTAGACAAAAAATAGAGAGAGCCTCTTTCTAACGTTGACTTGTTTAACATATTTGCTTGGTAAGCCTAGGCCTTTGATTAATCATCATAAATATAGTCTAAAATCCATGCATTCCTTTGTGACCTGGCTGAGGATAATGTATGTTTGGATTTATTGAGTTAACCATTATGTTATTATTTTCATTAGTGAGATTAACATAGCTTTTAGGTTTGATTCATTATCAATTCTGCATTTCATTTCATCCTCTCAGCACTCGACTCCTTAAGTTCATTCCTGTCTTTATATAACAACCACCCTATTTAAACTCTTTATTATGATTTGACAAGGCAATTGCATACCATGGTTTAACAATGCAACCTCCAAGCCAAATTACAATTCAAGTATTTTAATAATGATGTTTGAACTAACCCCAAAGTACTAAGATTTTCCAAAAGTATAGCCACAATGAAAAACCTGTAAAGATGCATGGATATTATTAGCTTTTTTTTTTTTTTCAAAATCAGCTTGGAGATTGGGCTGAAGGACATTTTCAAACCAGTATATTTTAAAGAACTGAATAAACTGAGCAAAGATTATTCCAAATGTTCACTAACTATATAAATCAAAATTTGACAGATATACAAAATGCTTAGCTAGCCAATCAGGCATGCCTTATTTCAGGACAATACATTCCACCCATAAATTCCTTCCTTGGACTCCCTTCTCAGTTTTATAGTCACTGGGTACAATAAGCCCTCAGTGAAGCCCTCCCCCCGCCCCTCCGCCCCCCGCCCAACCATCTACCTTTTTTGACACCCTTAGACATTTTTTCTGAAAGGTTTTTTAAAAGATTTCTGCAAATCCCCAAGTATGTAGAGATCTTTATCTTATGTCCCAGTAGTCTGCCTTTGGCTATGTAATGCATGAAGTAACCCAATCCTATACAGATAAATAATCAATTTGGTACCAAGAAAAGTGTAACAAATTTAGAAAAAATGCCCCCATTTTTACCAATCTCTTCAGGATTATCCTATTGATTAAACTGAGTAGAATAGATCTGAAAATATTGATAGACAGGACATAATAGAACAAAAGTAGACCAATTGTTTGTTGCATGATTTCATTTTGATACGTGTCCTTATTGTTGCTAATTACGTTCCTCCAAGTTGACTCTGATTTATGCTGATCCTTTCATTGAGATTTTTTTTGGTAAGATTTATTCAGAGGAGGATTGCCACTGCCTACTTCTTAAGCTTTCCAAAGCCAACCAGTGGTTATTGTGGGTCGGGGGACCAAACAATGTTCTCCTGGAATGACATGTGCTCTCTTACATGTCTCTGTGTGTATAACTTAAATCATAAGTTTTGCACAAGCACTACTGAAAAAAAGTTTTTAAAAATCAGAAACAGGGATTTAGACTTCAGATATGCAGAAAAAACAGACAATAAACTAGGATGTGTGACATACTTATGTGAATTAATTAAATTAAATAGTACTCAAAAAGGTAAACATATTAGTTGGCTTTAGCATAAAAAGACATAACGCAATGCAGTTGTATATTTGAAACTAATTGAGAAAAAGAAAATTCTTACATAGATTATTGCAGACTGAAATCTGTTTTAGTCTCAGAAGACTGCTAATGCTGGATTTCTTGTTAAATTAACTGTTCAAAAGGTTTTATATCAGTACAAAACTGAAAGAAAAATTGAGCACTCACCACTTGGATAAGGAATTCTACTGGAAAACCACCCAATGTTTCACTATCTGAGCCCGAAATTTTGTTTTTCCAAGAAGACTGTCCGAGTAAAGGATCACTGTCCTGGACAAGAAAGAAAGTTGCATTTTATAGTTTATTTCTAATAAGGTGTAATAGAAACATCACTCTGCATTAACAAAACATTATAATATATTGAACTACTTATTTCATCTGCTTTAAATCAGGGTTGGCAAAGCACAGCCTGTAGGCCACAACAAAATATATGGGCCCATGTTATGACTCCTGAAGCTCCCAAAGGCCTTAGACCACCACATCCCAATTCCTTTTTGAAATGCCAAATGCATTCTTATCCCACAACAAATGGGGGTTTGCTGTGGGACAAGAATGGATCTGCCATTTTAAAAAAGAATTTGGTATGTGGTGGTTTGAGGACCCATGTTTGACTCCACCCAAATAGTTGAAAACTGGCTAAAATTAAACTGTGAAGGGCATGAAGATAAGTAACTGGCCCATGTCACTCCAAAATTCATAAATTTACTGAATGAAAAATACCTTCTGGATATTACTTACTGTAATTGGTGATTGGAGGGGAGGTGTATAATGTAACCGAGGAGGAGTCATAAAAAATCTAGAAGGTCGTTGTTTCTGTCCGAAGGCAGCAATAGGCATGGTTTCGTTAGGTTCATTACTCTGAAGTGACAGAAGGAAAAAAAAGTTTTACAATGAGTGGCATCTTGAGTGAGAAAATATAATACACTTTGAAATTATAATGGCATGATATTTTACTGAATTAAAGAGATGGAATTTATTGTTTTAGGAAAAACATTTTTCTGCATGAAGACACAAAATAGAATGTATAACTTACAAGGACTTCATAGTCTGGGATTGTATGCGTTCCAAGCCCTGTCCTTTCGAATGTTACTCTGTATGTAGCATTAAGAGTATCTACAGCATCTATCTGTCCTGTGAAGAGTCCGTCATGGGCACCACGTAACCGTGCTATTATAAATGATAAAAATCAGAATCTTAATTGAAGGAAAATAATATTTTATACAATTTTCAATAAATATTGGCATACATTGCCCGCCAGGGAATGAAGAGAGAAAAGTCTGGAAAAATCTCCTCTAGCACTATGCCAGGCTCAGGTGATTTGTGCTCCTGCAGATGTTGCTGGACTACAACTCCCATCACCACTAAACACTGATAATGCTCAGGTGGTTGGGGCTGATGGGAGTTGTAACAGCATCCTAGCAGCATCTGGAAGGTCACACGTTGACCATCTGTTCTACAAAAAACTGGATTTTGCAACTGATATGATTTTTCAAAATAAGTAAGTTTTGGATATAATATATTATCCTAAGTGAGGTGTATAAGTAATTTGCAGTTATATTTCCAAATTAAAAGAAGAGGGGCAAGAACAAAAGACAATGTGCTCCACTGATCTAATTTCACAGCTTTTGCAAGCACTGTTCAGATAATAGAAAAACCCATCTGTTTATCACCTACTAAATGTCAGAAGCCTGCAGTGTTTTAAAATTTAAAAATGATAATACTGTCTCAGGTATTGCAAACTAATTCATTAGGATACTGTAGCTTAGGAAAACGATCCTTGGAGAAGTGAGAGCTACCACATATGTATTCTAGATCCTTGTCTTTCCTGGCTGAGCAATCAGACTAGAGGGGACTGGCAGAGTGGATGAAGGCTGTGGGCAATGCCTCCTTGGAACAAGGCAGAATTCCAACTTGCCTAAAGGAGGCAGTTATGAGACATGTATTTTAAAAGCCATCCCTGAGCCCCTCCATAATGGATAACTATCAGCCAGTGTCCAACCTTCCCTTTTTGAGCAAGGTTCTGGAGTGTGTGGTCTCCCAACTCCAGGGATTTCTGGATAAAACAGATTATCTAGATCAGGCATTCTCAAACTGTGGTCCTCCAGCTGTTTTGGCCTTCAACTCCCAGAATTTCTGACAATTGAACAAGCTCGTTAGGGCTTCTGGGAGTTGGAGGTCCAAACTGCTGGAGGGCCACAGTTTGAGGATGCCTGATCTAGATCCATTTCAATCTGGTTTCAGGCCTGGCTATGTCTTTGGTCACCTTGGTGGATGACCTATAGAGATAATTGGACAGGGGGAGTGTGTCCCTGTTAGTTCTTGTGGACTTCTCAGTTGCTTTAGATACCATTGACCATGGTATCCTTCTGGTCTCTTTATAGTGGCTCTTTTCCTCCTGGAGAGCTGCACTCACAAAGTGGTATGGGGGACTCATTTTGAACTGCTATCCATGGACCTGTGGGATCCCTCAGGGTTCTTTTTTGTCCCCATGCTGTTTTACATATACATGAAACCGCTCGCTGGGGTCATCTGGAATTTTGAAGTACGATGCCATCTATATGCAGATGATACCCAATTCTGTCACTCCTTTCCACCTAAAGCCAAGAAAGCTGTCCTGAACCTAAGCACTTGACATCAGTAATAGATTGAATGAGGGCAAAGAAAGTTAATCTTAGCCCAAACAAGACAGAGGTGCTCCTGGTCAGTCAGAAGGAAGATCAGGGAATAGGGATTCAAACTATGTTGGTTGGGATTACACTCCCCTTGAAGACACAGACCTGCAGTTTGAGGGTATTCCTGGACTTAGCACTGAACTTGGGAAGCCCTGGTTTCTGCAGTGGCCAGGAGTGCCTTTGCACATTTAAAACTTGTGTGCTAACTGTGCTCATTCCTTGAGATGCTGGATCTGGCCACAGTGGTACATGCCTTACTTGCACCCCATTTGGATTACTGCAACCCACTCTACGTGGGGCTGCCTTTGAAGAGTGCTTAGAAACTTCAGCTGGTCCAGAGAGCTGCTGCCAGGTTGCTAACTGGGCCTGGCTACAGGGAGTGGAGAATCTCCCTCTTGAAGCAGCTCTACTGGCTGCCAGTTTGTTTCTGGGCACAATTCAAAGTGCTGGCTATGACCTTTAAAGCCCTGGAAGGCTTAGATCCAGGCTTTTTGGCTGACTGCATATTTCTGTACGAACCTTCTCAGGCCCTGAGTTCTTCAGGAGAGGCCTTTCTCTCAGTCCTACCTCCATCTGAAGCTCAGTTGGTGGAAACAAGAGAGTGGGCCTCCTTGGTTGCTGCCCCTTGACTCTGGAACTCCCTGCCAGAGAAGCCAAAATGGCCCCCTCCCTGTTGTCCTTTTAGTGGCAAGCTAAAACCTTTTTATTCAGGCAGGCTTTTAAAGAAGTCAGGTGGTGCTGTGGTTTTAGTTATGAACAGGTTTTTAATTAGTTTTAAAAGTTTTAACAGTTTATTTTAATACCATTAATATTTAATCCTCTTTTAATGTTAAATTGCATTGTACTGGTTGTATTGTAAGCCACTAGGAGCCCCTGGTGGCACAATGGGTTAAACAGATTGGCGGTTCGAATCTGGGGAGAGGAGTAAGCTTCCGTCTGTCAAGCCCCAACTTCTCATGCGGGGACATGAGAGAAGCCTCCCACATGATAGTAAAACATCAATCTTCTGGGCATCTCCTGGGCAACGTCCTTGCAGATGGCCAGTTCTCTCACACCAGAAATGACTTGAAGTTTCTCAAGTCGCTTCTGACACAAAAACAAACAAACAAAAAAAACCCTGTACACTACTTTGAGTCTCTTTTGTAGAAAGAATAGTGTGCTATAAATAAACATGCTACTATTACTATTACTACTACTACTCCAGCAAAGCATTCCAACGGGGAAGCATGCGGGAATGCGGAAGTACTTCATCAGAGTCGCAGATGGACGATGAAAGCGACAGCTCCCCGGCGGCCAGAAAAAGTTAAAATAGCCTCTGTCTATGTCTGTATATGTTGCATGTCAAAATTGGCATTGAATGTTTGCCATATATGTGTACATTGTAATCCGCCCTGAGTCCCCTGCGGGGTGAGAAGGGCGGAATATAAAAGCTGTAAATAATAATAATAATAATAATAATAATAATAATAATAATAATAATAAATGTTGGAATGTACCAATTATGGCATTCCCAAGTGATACTGGCTCTCCTGTCAAGCAAAGTCTCATTGTGCATCTTATAACAACCTGTGCTACATTAGATCACTCAAACTGAGGTCACTGAGGAAAGGTAATCTTGTTTTATGGATGGTGAAATACCAACAGCTTTAATCCTTTAATTATCTTCATGTTACACTCCTGTCTTCATAACTTAACATCACTCAAAACATCCGTTTCATTTAAAGATGAAAAAGTACCTGTTACTTTTGTTCCTATAACTAGTGGCAATGGAATTTCTTCTGGAAGATCTTTAAATTGGGATATATCTGCCACCTTTCGCTGCTGCAAAAGTCTAATTTTTTGCCGTTTCTGTTTTAATGCTGACCTTTCCTCTTCAAAGAATGCAGAAGAACATCTGCAAAACAGTAAGCAGAACTATTCCGATGTCTTTAAATGTACCCATTTATTCATACATGTATCCTTTTGTAATCCCTGAAAGCAAGGAGGGTCTATTGATAAAATGAAGCCTCAGGAGGAAGGGACACAAGCTCCTTTGAAAATTATCTGCCTCTCCAAATTTAACAACAGAACAAGGAGAAGGGAAATTCAGTCATTCTACAACATTTTAACTGGATAATTTAGTTGCCTAAGCAAACGAATTGCTAATGTATGCAGACAGTCCCTGAGTTACAAACATTTGATATATATATATGACTCCTAGTTACAAACGAGGATGAGACAATAGAAATTGAGATGAAAAACACCCTAGGAAGGGAAAATCACTCTTGAAAGAATTATCACGGGAAAAAGGGTGTCTCCACTGAAGCTTTATCACCAGCCTTTGTTTCTACAACAAGCCTATTTTTTCCAAATCCAGTTGTCACAGGAACAGAAAATGAGCAGAAATCTTCTGAAGACAGAAGGATAAACATTACAGTGGTGTTAGCCCTTCCTTATGCTGTCCAAAACTACTGTAAAACAAAAATAATTGTATGGAGTTACACTTAAAAATGTACCTCTTCTGACATATACAATTTTAACTTAAGAATGAACCTACAGAACCTATCTTGAGACACGAGAAACATAGAAGCTGAGTAGTACATGCTAGCACTCTCTTCTAAAATCAGCTTTCTAGGGAAGGGACACAAGCTCCTTTGTAAATTATCTGCCTCTCCAAATTTAACAACTGGAAGCAACTGTTTCCGCTTTCATAGCAAAATTTAATCTAAAAGAATCTCAAAGTCAATGATATTTAAATTTGTCAGGACAGCAAGAGGCATTGAAAAGTTCTGCCCCTCAAAAAGTTAAGCTACACTGGACACCCATTAGGCAGGGGTTGGCCATGGATAGGATTGCAATTCCCCTACCACTGCATTAGGGGCACTATACTCTCAGTGTAAGATCAGGCCACAAAGTGGGTCAAAATGTATCCAGACAATCACCTCTAGTCAAAGATGCTTAAGTTGTACCACAACCACCTCCAGGAATATCTTTTTCTAAGAAGAGATGTTTGGAAATTGCTAACAGTATCTGCAGGCCTCAGGATACCAGGAAAACATCTTCAGAAGAAGCCTCAAAAGTACCTTCAATGCAAGTGGACATGCTCTCTTTCAGAATGAGGTTTTTAGTATCATCACCTTACTTGGGACTCAGCTGAACAAATCCCTCAGGCTTATGTGTGGCAAACACACATACCCTTTCAATTGTACGATTCTCAAGCCTCAGCCCGGACAGTACAAACAGTGTTTAAATTCCCACCCTTCATTCACACTGAAGTTTACCTAAACAAATAATTTTCATTCAGATACAGAATATAGCTATTTGCTGTAAAGGATTAGAAGAAAAGCAAAGTTGCAAACTTACTCAATTATTCGTATACACATTTTATATTCTAAAATTTTATATTAAAACAAAACAAAACAAATCACACAGGAAGCCTTAAAACAAAATCCACTATCACCAAGCCTCAACAAAAAAATGTCAGTTTAAAAATGCTTAGCTCTTCCACACAATATGTTTTACCTTCTTGGCTTTCCCATCAATCTTCTGATTTTCCCCCACTCCACTCTTGTTAATTTTCTTGTTTTCAAATTGGGAAATGATTCTTTTAGGCAGACACAGAAGTCATTATCACCTTCAAACAATGGCCTGTACAAAACAATTGATTTTCTGTCATTACATTTAGATAATCGATCTCTCTCTCTCTCTCTCTCTCTCTCTCTCTCTCTCTCTCTCTCTATATATATATATATATATATATATATATATGATGCCACCTTAGGACATCTTGAAAACCAACTAAAGACTTTGTTTAGTTGCTCAAGCTGAAAGTAGAAGTGATCAAAAAGCATGAAACAGCACGCTGTCTTTGTTTCAAAAGCTAGAATTCTGATAATTATTAACTTGTTACATCCATATTTACTTGAGTATAATGTGTCATGGAATGTAATGTGCACCTTAATTTATTTTTAAGGTATCCTAATTTTAAGGTACACAAGCATAGCACATCAGGGAGGCAGGCAGCATGAATGAGGCCATTTGGGAAACTATGCCACCCCATGAGGCTAAGTCCAGTGAACTTGCTAAATTACATTCCTCAACTGGCCTCATTCACAAGACCTTCAAACCAAGAGTGAGTTTTTGAAGGCCTCGTGGATGAATCATAGAATAATAGAGTTGGAAGAGACCACATGAGCCACCCGATCCAATCCCCTGCCATGTAGGAAAAGCACAATCAAAGCACTCCACACTCACACTCCAAGGCAAAGAGTTCCACTGTTGAACAGCTCTTATGGTTGGGAGGTTCTTCCTAATGTTCAGTTGGAATCCTCTTTCCTGTAATTTGAACCCATTACTTCAGGTCCTAGTCTCCAGGGCTGCCGAAAACAAGCCTACTCCTTCTTCCTTATGACAGCCTTTCAAATATTTAAACATGGATATCATGTCTCCCCTCAACCGCCTCTTCTGCAGGCTAAACATATCCAGCTCTTTAAGCCATTCCTCATAGGGCATGGTCTCCAGAGGTCAACTGAGAACTGCACTGGATTGAGCCTCAGGGGGAAGGGGGCTGAGTGAGGGACCATCCAGGAGGAGACAGGATTTGCAGCTAAGTAGCAGGAATGACTGGGTTATCAGCTTGGTGTTCGTCGTCCTTCTGTGGGTGCCATGGAGCCCTCATGCTGCCACCACCACCCAGGAACAGCCTCTTTGCACCCCTTTATCCCTCTGGGCCTTTTCATGCAGGAGGGTTTACAAGCGCAATTCTAATATGCCACTGAATCTAATACACACCTCATTTTTGGCAACATAATTTAGCTCAAAAATGTGAGCATTAGAATCAAGTAAAATATGGGTAATATTCAAGCAAAACCATTCTTATTATTCTAAATTTGTCAAATATTACTGAAGCTCATTCTCACATATGGAGAATGACAGTGTAAGTAGAGAGCCTACTCTAGTCATGGAGATTTTCCGCACAATTCCTGAATGCACAGAAAGCATTGTTGCATGGAGAAGGCTCTCTTCTTCGAACTGTCATTTTTCACATGTGGAAGAATTGAAATAGGAGGTAGGAGGCTACTGTGCTCCCCTACTCAAAATAGATAGTGTTGTGCCTAAATAAGAAATTTTTAAAATAATAATTACAGACAAGTACAAGTAAAATGTTATTACTGAGGAATAGGTTAAGGTTGACGCAATCAATTTGAAAACAATACAGTTACACAAACATGTATTCCTGTTTGTTATGAGAAATTTATTATTTACCTTAAAAAATTCTGACTATAATACTTTCAGCAGTTAAATACAACAATAAAGTCTGCAACCTATAAAAATAAATTTTTAGACATAGCTATGCTCTATCATCAAAATATGGAAGACTAATTATGGCGATAAAAATTAGATCAAGAGGTATATTTAGCCACTAGAAAACAATCAGCAATCATTCTTTAAAACATGTGAAATGGAAATAATTTAATACCAAAACACATAAATAACTGTTTTAACAATATTGAATACTAGCAAAGCTATTGATTCTTCTCATAACAGAGTAGAGCCATAAGGTGATATATACATATAGCTTGATCTCTGCATTGTGCTTTAAAGAAAAGATAAAAGGTTACACATACTTATCTATATTTGAATAGAACCATTCATATATACACCATTTATGTGCTTTAGGAAGTTTTAGCAAGTTACGCAGCCGTAATCCAATCTTCTGTGATGCTTTTTTGTCTGGTGTTGGCATTGTTACTGTGAACTTCTAGACAATAAAAAGACAAATAAATATTAGTAATAGATAAAAAAGTTAAACTAAGTGAAATATTACCATTTTCAATATGATCTGTTTTAATACATGCACACTGAAAGTGTTTTAGTTATGATCTGAAACTACCCCTGAGTTTCATGAGATTAAAAAAAAAACAGCTTCTCTCTATTATTCATTTACCAAGGAAAATTGTGTTTTGCATAAGGATGAAGACAGTGTTTTGTAACTGGGTTTAGTACCTTCAGAAATGGGAAATAAACCATTGTTTATTTGTTTCTTCATCCCAGCAGTTCTAGGAGTGGTTCAAGAAGCAACCTGAAAGCTCTGGTTTAATATCAGTTGCTACTCGAATCCTCCTCCTACACTTTATCTTCACGTTGGTGCAAACTTCATGATTTCAACATCATGTCAATTTGTTTTCTCCACTCAGTTAACCTTCTATTTGTAACCTCTTGTTTGATTTAAAGCTCTGCAGATCTCAAAAACTTACTTTTTTGCATTACTTCAAAAATATTTCAAAGTATCTTTTTCATGTCAGCTATAGATTTTATGCGTTGCTGTGGCCCAGTCTGTGTATGTGTTTTTTGTGTGTGTATATGTGTATATATGTATGTTTGCATGTATATATGTGGTTTTGTGCATGTGTTCTAATTTTTGTTTTTGTTTTTTGGCTTTTAAAGTGTCTTCTGCTGTGTTTTTAAGCGTTTTTATGAGTGATGGTCACTTGTTGGCCTGATAGGTGTATTGTGTCCAAAGTTTGTGTCAATTCGTCCAGTGGTTTTTGCATTATGTTAATTCCACAAACGAACATTACATTTTTATTTATATAGATGAAGAAATTGAAGTTGCTCAGAGGTAACAGGTGAATCTATGGTTGAGCCTTCAGTTTACATCCTCTCCATTCTTCACTTCTGTGCCCATTACAAGATTGGAAAATTTCATATCCAGTATTTAAAGTAATCATAGTTATCCATGATTTTTAAATTCAAAGATATTTGGCCTTTAGCTTTTTTAAATGCTAGTTAACAAGAATAGTCAACAGCAAAACATCAGCTTCCCGATTCTTTTCACTAGTCAAAGTTTAAACTAACTACATTTTGGACTTCAAGGAAACTATTATTAATTTCTAACTGGAAGCAGAACCTGTGTAGAAATAGGTAAACCCAGGGTTCAGTAAAGCTCAATTTACATATCTGCAAAATGCAGTTTTCTGTTATGTCTGAATCTAGTTCAGATGAATCTGCATGTATTCTGACATCAATAGTATCTCCATTGAAAACACTTTATGTATTTTACCCATTTTGATGATTTTTGGAAGCTGACAGTAACATGCGGTCACTAAATGGAAATATTTAACATGTCAACAGATATCCTTTTGGACTTCATTAGTATTATATGGAAACCTATATTTGTGAATTTATATCAGTGCATGTATGTATATATGCATGTGTTTATAAGTACATGTGTACATATATACATATTATTTGATTGGCCTTTATCCAAAGTTCCAGAAAGTTTTTGATCTAGTAAGAGACCTCAACTGCAGAAGACAGGAAATATCTTTTTACTAATTCTCTACTTTGGCCTGCCCTCATACTTGGAAAAGTCTCTCAAGTCTCTGCAGCTGATTTTCAGACAACGGAAAGGCTACAGTGAGAAGCAGCCAACTTTTGCCATGAGAGTGTATCTAAATTTCTACTCTGGGAAGGTTCCTGCCTACGAAAATACATTCTTGCTCCAAAATACGGTCTTTAATACAATATAAAACCTATGCTTGCTATATTGCATTTATGATTTGTGTTTCATTGGCTTGTTGTAATCTCTCCTGGGCCTTCTGAATAGGCCTAATCAATCCAAAGAGAAAACAGAAAAACATGTAGTCTATCAATCTATGAATACAAGAACCTTTACATATTAACATACCTGTGGAACCATGGCAACTCTCTGGTTTCTTTTGGGTGATCTTGTGGTAATTTGTTTTTCTTCTTCTTCACATAAAGAACGACTTCGTTTTGAACTTCTGAAAGGCTGAAGCAAAACAAAACAAAAATCCAACCCCAAACCTCTGAGTCAAAAGACAGAAAAGTTGTGTCTTTCTGTAATACAACAAACCCATGAGAAAAATAAAATTAAGAACATTTTCTTTTTTATCAGATTTCTGAAAATACTTTTGAAACTTGAGCCCAAGAAAACGGTTTCCCTCTCTAAAAGCAAAAAAGCTGAAGGAAGGCAAATCTATGTCTAATGACAACCCAGGTACCCCATGGAAGTCACCTTGAGCCTCAAGACTACAGAAACATAACCTATACTTGTGTTAAAAACAAAGATTGGTTAAAAAAAAGTTGCTCCTTACCATTTCTACAGTAGCTCCTGAATTTTTGCCTTTCCAAATGGTTGTTTTCGGTAAAGAACTGAATTTTTCATTCCATGTATTTGATAAGCTTCCCTCTATTGTGAATAAGATATAAATTATAAATATAAATACGTTTTTCTCATGTTGGTAAAATAAGCATAAAATAATTTATTTTAATACTCTTTTTTAAAGAGCAGAATAAACGTGTTTTAAACATTACACAACATAAAACAGAATTAAATAAATAAATAAATAAATAAATTAACCTGTCCTTTTAGTACATATATTTTGGAGTACACATCACAATTTTGATATAAAGTGTTTTTCTCTCTTTATATTGTCCTTCATTCTGGTGGAAGCTAGTGCCAATTTCTGCAGTTAAAAATCATGTGAAATGACTTTTTCTGTTTCTGTAAATAATTCCTTATCTGTGCATTTTCACTTTTAGGAATGTTACAAATCAATAAATGGTATACCCTACCTTTCAAACTGACCAGGGCTTTTGCTGAGGAACCTAAAATAAATAAGAAAACCAAATAAATTAGCAGTATTTCTCTAAACATATTCTCAATTATTATACCACTTACATCTTGGATATGCGAAAGAATGAAAGTAACCCCATCATGTTATTAACTGAAGGATATGATGTCAAAACTGGCATTGCTTTGTTGTCATACTGTAAGTTTCCACTACAGAGCAAACAGATTCAAAAAAATATGTTCTTTGAGGCAGGATGCGTCAAGCTTTGACTCCACTGGCGCTTGTGTTTACTCCATTTACAATCACCAAATGAAAGTTTATAAACACATGTATCTGCCAAGTGAAAAAACTTAGTAAAGCTGCCTAACTATACTTTTCTTTTTTCTCTAGCATGAGGCAGCAGGATGAGCATGAAGCAGTCTTAACACTATTTCCTGTTCCACACAATTGCTTCACAATTGTTCCTCACAATTGTCCACACAATTGCTTCACAATTGTTCCACACAATTGCTTCACCTTTTTTAAAATTAAGGAACCATTTGAGGTACATCTACCATGCAGGTCTAAACCATTTCCAATTATCTTTAACTGTTATAGAATTAAGAATAATTATGGGAATCTGTGGCTATGTGAAGGGGCAGGAATTTGTATGCATTTCCATGAATGTCCTTTCTATCAAAGAAGGTTCAGTGCTCTCAAAAAGCATCACAGGGCTGCAGTTATGACAGTTAAACTAACCATGAAGTTTGCTCTACAAATACCAGAAGCATAGCAGTGTTGGCAGTAGTTCACAAACAGTCCTTTTTTTAATGCTACAAGAAAAAGCCTTGTGAATTCCAGTTCACCTTCCCATTATCCATTCCACTTAGTTACTTCTTAGAGTTTTGAGATGAACTAGATCCAAAGAGCCAAACTATAGTTTTCACTTGCTCTGCAAACCAGGATCAAATTTGTACTGGATTACGTGTTATTGCGAAATGTATATTGTAAATCCTTTTTCAAGATCAAACAACTGAAATAGCATTGGCTTTGCCACAAAGTCATCCAATTTGTAAAACAACAAGAGCATGAAAAGCATTTTTGCAATAGCATATAATAAAACAGACAGCCTTGCTTTCATCACAGACATATGTGTCAAAATCTGAAGGGTCTTTTTGATTACTTCATTAAATTTTGCCAAAATATTTCAAATATGTATGGCACCAGCATCAGGTATTAAACAGATAAATTATCTAATAAATTGGATTATTACAATGGTTCAAGTCTTATCTCATCTAGGCTAAACAATATGGAATATCTCTTCACCAGTTTTGGCATACTGAGACCAGTTTCTCACAGGAAAAAAGGCTAAAACAGGGAAATACTTTTAAGATCTAATCCTTCACCAACCCCCACTACAAGTATTTTGGTTATATCTTCATCAACCCTCCATATTGATTTCTTCTGATATGAACTAAAATACAATTTTCACTAAGAACAGTTCTAGCAGAGTAACACATTTCACACTATTCAGCTGAATATTTTTTTTTACAAATGAATATATTAATATATATCACTCTTCAGATGCTCTAATTTACAGCAGAAGAAAAATAATTACAAAATAAGATCCAGCAAAACTGGTATTTCTTATCCCTGACCTCATCAATCCCTAATGTTTCTTAAATTACAATACACATGTAAGTTGCAAGAAGGGAAATGCTTTGAAAGCTTTATGTATGTCACCACTATTCTCAGAAGAGATAGGTAAAGATAAAGGTTTTCCCCTGACATTAAGTCCAGTTGTGTGCGACTCTGGGGGTTGGTGCTCATCTCCATTTCTAAGCTGAAGTGACGGCGTTGTCCGTAGACACCTTCAAGGTTATGTGGCCAGCATGACTGCATGGAGAGCCGTTATCTTCCTGCCAGAGCTGTACCTATTGATCTAGTCACATTTGAATGCTTTCGAACTACTAGGTTGGCAGAAGCTGGGGCTAATGTCGCTCCCTGGATTCGGACCTGCGACCTTTCGGTCAAGAAGTTCAGCAGCTCAAAGGTTTAACCCACTGCGCCATAGGGGACTCTTCTGAGAAGAGATACCAAAATACCAAACCATCTTAAAAGAACTGATGAGCAAAAAGTGACATATGATGTTTTTGCACTTAAAATAATAATAATAATAATAATAATAATAATAATAATAATGTAGTTCAGGGGTCCTCAAACTTTTTAAACAGAGGGCCAGGTCACAGTCCCTCAAACTGTTGGAGAGCCGGATTATAATTTGAAAAAAACCCCCCCATGAATGAATTCCTATGCATGCTGCACATATCTTATTTGTAGTGCAAAAGACACTTAAAAACAATACAATAATTAAAATGAAGAACAATTTTAACAAATATAAACTTATTAGTATTTCAATGAGAAGTGTGGGCCTACTTTTGGTTGATGAGATAGGGTTGTTGTTGTTGTTGTTGTGTGCTTTCAAGTCGTTTCAGACTTAGGTTGACCCTGAGTGAGGGCCGGGTAAATTACCTTGGAGGGCCGCATCCGGCCCCCGGGCCTTAGTTTGAGGACCCCTGCTGTAGTTCTAGATCATGCTCCCCCCCCCCAGAAGGACGGTTTACACATAAAAAGGCAAACATTCAATGCCTCAAAATAGATGCAGACACATCAAAATAATACAAAATAATGGAGAGTAACAACAGAAAACTTACAACAAGATGATTAAGTATCAAAATAAAATAAAAACAAGAACAATCTCTTAAAACATAACAACTAAACATAAACATTACAACATACACCCTAAAAACAAATTGTTAGATATTACATTTAAAATGGCTGACAATGGTGTTTCATTTAAGATGTATCACAACACTTAAAAGCTTATGTGTACTTTCAAAAACTACTTAGTCAAAATTGATTTTTAATTTTTTTTCAGGTAGATCCAAAGTGGAGACTACTAACTTCAAAAGCACAGAGACAAAAAGGAATCTGCAGCTTTTCTTGGTGTATATCAGCATTTCTTTCATGAGTAAAAATTGAGCAGACAAAGTGAGAAGTGCAAGAAGGTGGTACTTCAGAGACCAAATAGAATCTTGCCCACATTAACATTGATTCTCCTTCTGTCTGTGGCTATCATCAGAAAATACCTGTATTACTCAAAAGACTAGGGCCAAGTCTCAAGATCTACATGCCTCATAGGTCCCTTCTAGACTGCCATATAATCCTGATTACAAAATCAAATAATCCACATGATCGGCTTTGAACTGAATTATATCAGTCTATACTGCCATATAATCCAGTTCAAATCAGATTTGTTGTTTATACATTCAGTCGCTTCTGACTCTTCGTGACCTCATGGTCCAGCCCACGCCAGAGCTCCATGTCGGCTGTCACCACCCCCAGCTCCTTCAGAGTTAAGCCAGTCAATTCAAGGATACCATCCATCCATCCATCCATTTTGCCCTTAGTCGGCCCCTCTTCCTTTTTCCTTCCATTTTCCCCAGCATCATTATTTTCTCTAGGTTTTCCTGTCTTCTCATTATGTGGCCAAAGTACTTCAACTTTGTCTCTAGTATCCTTCCCTCCAGTGAGCAGTCGGGCTTTATTTCTTGAAGTATGGACTGGTTGGATCTTCTTGCAGTCCAAGGCACTCTCAGAACTTTCCTCCAGCACCACAGTTCAAAAGCATCTATCTTCTTTCGCTCAGCCTTTCCTATGGTCCAGCTCTCACAACCATAGGTTACTATGGGGAATTTCCATTGCTTTAATTATGTGGATCTTCGTTGCCAGTGTGATGTCTCTACTCTTCACTATTTTATCGAGATTGGACATTACTCAATCAGATAATCTGGATTTTATATGGAGTGTCAAGGGGGCCATAGTCTCACAGCTAACAAGGGAAATCAGTAAAGTACACGCACATTTTCAGACTAAGAGGAGTAAATGAAGTCCCGTAAACTGGAGCCATGCTAAACAAACGCCAGCTTGGCACAGACTTAGCTTTCATCATTTATAAAGAAGATAACAATTTGCAATGAAGCAAGTGCTACTGCTGTATTCATTCTTAGCTAGCACTACCATATCAGGTTATCAGGCTAAGTTCTTAAGCCATTTTCTTTGTGGTAAGGTCAATTTAAATTAGATAGTCTTATTCTCAAGTAAATATTTTAATACATACTGATATAAAAGTAACAGACAAATATTTCTCCAATACATAAGTCAAATGACAGATTCAAGAAGTGGCTTGCTAAAATATCATAAAAAACTTTAACAGCACAAATAAGGATGGGCTAAACACAGTAAAATTGGCATTATCTGCATTTTGTTTTTTATTCTAAAAAATTAGACCATTATTGTCCCCTCAAACTGAATAAATTAGATTTAATAAACCACATAAGGTATGCTTATTTTTCATGTGTTTTATATATTTCACTTTTGTTAGCCACAGGTTTGATAAACAGGAACCTATAGCCTGGCCCGGATATTCATATAAAACATTTCAAACATGAATCTTTATGGAATAAATTTGGACAAGAATGATCTGAGAACCACTTTTCATTCAATGCAGCAGTAATCAAACTATTACTGAAAAGCACACCTGTCACAAAAATCTCAGAAAACCCTTAACAAATCTTATGTTTTTTTTATTTAGATGTTCCGTTGACTTCAATAGGATTGTCAGATATAAAAATTACAGTATGAATTTTTAGAATTGTAGCAAACTTCTAAGGCACATGTATCAAACTCATGGCCCTCGGACCAAATTCAGCCCACCATGTCATTTTATGTGGCCTTCCAGATGCTGGACTACAACTCCTATATTTCTCATCATTAAACAGCATGATTAGAACTGATGGGAGTTGGGTTGCAGTTCCCATTATCCCCAGTCTGTGTGGCAGATAGTTAAAAGTGATAGGAATTATCATTCTAGGGACGCAAAGTGAATACAAATAACAGCACTGACTACTGTGTAAAATATATATAGCTGGCCCTCTGTATTCAAGGATTCTCTGTCTATGGATTGAAGGCAACCATAAGGCTGATATGGTTCTCAATGGAAATGAATTTGACACCCCTGATTTAAGGGCTACTGTAGAAATGTGAACTCAGGCTAACTACTCTATCACACTAGGACTTTAAAACGGGCAACCCTGCATTTCTGCTGCATGCGGAATTCTGGGAAATGTAGTTTGGGAAGGCAAGAACCTCTGTAGCTGAGAATTCAAGAGGCCCTGCCCTAAACTACATTTCTCAGAATTCTGCAGGTGGCAGAAATGCAGGGCTGCCCACTTTAAAGCCCTACTATGATAACGTTGTAGATCACTATTGGTTAGAGCTTTGTGCTGAATGTATATATTATAGGTTACATTTTCTGGTAAAAGGGTTCATTGGGATCATAACATTGCCCAGAAACAACTCTGAAAAACCTTCATAGCCAGGGGATGAAGTATTAAAACTGAGCATGGATTGATAGACTGGCCTTCAGAAAGAAAACAAAGACGTGGTTATGGGATCAGATTTTGGCCAGTAATGCAATGCAAAGAATAATCAGGAAATACGTGCTATGACAATGGGAATGGCCACAATGGATGATTTTTTGGATCATGTGATTTCAATATTTATATTAGGATGTTTTAGTGATTACATGTTGTATATGCCTATGTTTAATGGTTTTAAGGTTTTAAATTATAGTTATATGTCAGTGTTTATTTCTTGTGATTTTATTTTATTATGATGTTGGCACTGAATTCTTGCCATTAATATGTTGTAGACCGCCTTGAGTCCCCCCAGGAGTGAGAAAGACGGTATGTAAATATACTAAATAATAAATAAATAAATGTGTAACACAAGAAAACACTTCATAAATCCTACTTACAGTAACCTTGACAAGAATTCTCATCCCAGATAGAAAGTTTTCTATGGGCAGGAAATCTTCACTTAAATATACACTTCAGCAGTTGTACACTTCACTTAATCTACTATTTAAGAGACCAAGCTCTCAGCTGCTTCAAGACTTTTTCAATCAGATGCTCTTCAGATGTTGCAGACTACAAGTCCCATCAGATTGCATCAGTCTGGCCAAATGATCAAACAGATTTTTTTCATGGGTGCAGATAAACCCTGCAACAGGTCAGCTGGATGGACTACTGAGGCATTTGGACATAGTGTAATTTCACTAACTCCAAGTCAGTTTTCTCTGAATTGTTGATGCCTTATACTTAATATACATATCATACAGAGGATTATACAAATTTAGGTAGATTGTGTTGGGACTGAATGTGACAACCTGTACAAGTTTCTTCCTGTTGTCCTACTTCCTGTCCTGTTATGATTGTATATTGTTCATATCAGCAAGTCTTGCATGTTTTATTTCATGAATGTATTTTCAAAAAATATGTTGACATATCTACAATAATTTCTGAGAAAGGTCACAGAGAAGAAATAATCTATTCTATAGATTAAGTGGAAATGCATCATAAATGTAAACAGTCTCGTTTTTGCTTTACCAAAGTGTCTAATTACACAATCAGCCCACATGTGAGCCATTGCTCAAAATATAAGTGCCCCAATCTCTCCTCTCTAGCACAGGAAGAATCAAAGCTGGAAGAGACCCCAAGGGGCAACCAGTCCAACCCCTGCCATGCAAGAACACACAATCAAAACATTCCCAACAGACAGCCATCCAACCTCTGCTTTAAAATCCCCAGAGGAGACTCTACTGCACTCCAAGACAGTATTTTGCATTGCTAAACAGATCTAGCCATCAAGAAATCCTTCCTAACGTTTAGGTGGGATCTCTTTTCCTGCAATTGGAATCCATTGCTCCATGATGTAGTCTCCAGAACAGCAAAAAACAAGCTTGTCCTTTCCTCAATGTGACATCCTTTCAAATATTTAAACATGGCTAAAATGTCACCTCTCAGCCATCCTTTCCCTAAGCTGTCCCTCACAGAACTTGGTGCCCTTCTCTGGACATGTGAATATCCTTGTGTTGTGGTGCCCAGAACTGGACACAATATCACAGGTAAGGTCTCAACAACACGGAATGGAAGGAATTATGACTTCCCTCAATCTAGACCACAGCTTTCCAAATTGTGTGTCGCAATATATTAGGTCAGCTGCACTGTGTAGATGTGTCATGTGGAAGTAAGGAGAAATCTCTGAGTCTATGTGAAATAAGGAATAAATTGTATATTTTCAAAACATAGGTTTTAATTACATATGTTGTATCCCCATACATTTTATTATTACAATTTATGTATGTGTCTGTATCTCTTATAAAGGGTTGGTTTAACTTCCGGTTTGCTAGTAAAATTTAATTATGTGTCACAAAATGATGCATGTCTAAAAAGTATGTCACCAGCATGAAATATTTTGGAAAGCTCTGATCTAGACATTAGACCAGGCATGGGCAAACTTTGGGCCCCCAGGTGTTTTGGACTTCAACTCCCAAAATTCCTAACAGCCGATGGATGCAGCATTCGCTTTCTTTGCTGCTGCATCACTGATGTTCATCGTATGCTCTACTAGTACTCCTTGATTATTATTATTTATACCCTACTTTTTCTCTCCACAAGGAGACTCAAAGCAGTTGGATTCTTTTCACATGTACTGTTTTCAAGTCAGTTGTCACCCGTTTTATACCCGTGCATCTCATTCTGCTTATTTATTTGCTTCATTTTTACCCAGCCTTTCTCACCCCGCAAGGAACTCAAGGCACTTTACAAACTTTGGCAAAATTCAATGCCTCATGGACATAACAATGAACAGACCCCATTAAATAGTTAAACATATGAGCAATTAAAACACATAGCAATAAAACAGATTAAAACTATGTAAAGTTCCGAGTCCAAACACAGACACAAAAGCAGAGCCCCCCCCCCCCCCCAAAAAAAAAAAAGAGAATCAGATGCCAAAAGAAGGCAATAATAGGACCAGGTATGGCTGATCTGAGATTGTTTTTAAAGTGGAGATGATTGATTTTAGTGTTTATGAATATTTATAGTTTATTTTATGTTCTAGCATTGAATGTTTGCCGTAGATATGTTGTGCTCCATCCTGAATCCCCTTTGGGGTGAAAAGGGCGGAATATAAATGTTTTATATAAATAAATAAAGGAACCCAATTTTCCTAGTTTTCAACAGACCGCACAACCTCTAAGGATGCCTGCCATAGATGCAGGTAAACATCAGGAGAGAATGCTTCTAGAACATGGCCATTCAGCCCGAAAAACCTACAACAACCCAGCCATGAAAGCCTTCGCCTATAAATTGGTGCATTTTTAAATGCCGAGGCTCGGTGTTATGGGAGTTTGGGGAAGCAGTTAAAGCGGAGTCGAACTGCATCAATCCTGCACTGTAGATGCATCCAGCACCCACCACCTGCAAGCAGCTCCCCACCATGTGCTGCTATGGGGAGGGTAATAATAATAATAATAATAATAATAATAATAATAACTTTATTTATACCCTGCTACCATCTCCCCAAGGGACTCGGTGCGGCTTACATGAGGCCAAGCCCACAGTACATCAGTAAACAAACGTAATAACAAAAACAATCAATATAAAACAATTAATATAAATCACATAAACGAAAAATAAACAATAAACAATAACAGTAACAGTAATAATTTAAAATTTAAAAAATAATGCTGGGCATGAACAAGGTAGGATATAACTGGGATAGGGTTTTTCGAAGAGAGATGAGGGAATGCAGTCAGTCCTAAATCAGGGTAGGCTGGATAGCCTTCTAATAACTTAAATCAGTGGTTCCCAACCTGTGTCACCCCTGGTGTTTTGGCCTACAACTCCCAGAAATCCCAGCCAGTTTACCAGCTGTTAAGACAGGGGTCCCCAAACTTTTTAAACAGAGGGCCAGGTTACAGTCCCTCAAACTGTTGGAGGGCCGGATTATAATTTGAAAAAACATGAATGAATTCCTTTGCACACTGCACATATCTTATTTGTAGTGCAAAAAACACTTAAAAACAATACAATAATTAAAATGAAGAACAATCTTAACAAATATAAACTTATTCGTATTTTAATGGGAAGTGTGGGCCTGCTTTTGGCTGATGAGATAGGATTGTTTTTGTTGTTGTTATGTGCTTTCAAGTAGTTTCAGACTTAGGTTGACCCTGAGCGAGGGCCGGGTAAATGACCTTGGAGGGCCGCATCTGGCCCCCGGGCCTTAGTTTGAGGACCCCTGTGTTAACATATCTGGGAGTTGAAGTCCAAAACATCTGGGGACCCACAGGTTGAGAACCACTGACTTAAATGTAGCACCACAGATCTCTCCCTGTTGGAATTCGTTGTATCAGTTCTGGCCCAGCTCCCTAATCTGTTAAGGGCTGTTGACTCAATGCAACACACCTCTTGCCTTGAGCCAACGATCAGGAAGCAGGCCTGCCCTCCCCACACCTTTCCACACATTCAGGAAAACAAACAGGGCGCTCTCCTTGGTCGGGCGCTCGCCTGGTGTCAACATATCTGGATTCACACAAGAGGGCAGAAGTCGGGGCCTGCCCTTTGTCGCCCTCGCCCTCCTCCGAAGGGAAGCGCGGCTCTGGGAAGCAAAGGGCTCCCTGCCTCTGAGGTGAAGGGCGGCAGTGACACGTCAAGCGCCCAAATTAGGCGAAGAGGGATCCCTTGGTGTGGGTTGGCTTGGCGGTGCTGCGCCCAGCACTTCAGAACCAAGGCCGAAGGGACTGGGTGTCAGTGCCGCCCTGCTTTTCCCTCTCTTCTCCGCCCGGGGTTCAGGGCGCGGCTCCCCTCGAAAGCGAGAAGCGGGGATTATCTAAGAGCGGCCCTCCGAGGGAGAAGGGCCCAAGCCGGGCGCCCAAGGGAGGAGACGGAGCCACCTCAGCAGGACCCACAGCAGCCCTGCCGGCATCGCCAGCGTCGCCGCGGCCTCCGTCCCGGGAAGCGGGCGAGCGGAGGGAAGGAGGGGGGGGGGCTCTGCAAAGAGAGAGAGCGCGGCCGAGCCGGGGAGTCCGCCGGCGGGGCCAAGCGCGGGGCACCCGGGTGGCTGGCTACTCACTCTCGTCAGGCAGCTGATCCAACTCCGCCATCTTGAAGGAGCCGCGCCGCTTTTTCAAAGGCTGCCTGCCGCGATGCATTGTGGGGGAGGAGACGGCGTCCTCCGGCGCGGCCTGACTGGAGGAAGGGAGGAGGGGGAGGCGCGCGGGACGCACGGGGCGGGGCCGCGCGCGCTGACGTCACTCGGGATCGGCTCCTGGACTCGGTTGAACTCTGGCCAGAGGCGGCGGCGCGAGCCTCAAGAGCAGCAGCAGCAGCACAGCCTGCTGTCAGGACATCACCGCCTGCCTTCTCTCATGCTGCAGCCCGAGTGCGAGGAGGAAGCCACTTTCCAAGCTCACAAGAGCCTGCCTCTCACTTTTCCCAGGGCCCTTCCACACAGCCAGAAAACCCAGAATATCAAGGCAGAAAAATCCAACAATATCTGCTTTGAACTGGGTTATCTGAGTCCACACTGCTATATTGGTATAGTACAATATAGTATTACATAATACTAATATTGTGCAGTACTAATAATATAATATATTGTATACACATACAAGAAGATCTGTATAGAAAGGATAGCAATATCGAGGATAGCTTTGACGGTGTGGTGAATGAATTAGAACCAGACATTCTGAGGAGTGAGGTTGAATGGGCCTTAAGAAGCATTGCTAACAACAAGGCAGCAGGAGACCACGGGATCCCAGCTGAACTGTTTAAAATCTTAAAAGATGATGCTGTCAAGGTGATGCATGCCATATGCCAGCAAATATGGAAAACACAAGAATGGCCATCAGACTGGAAAAATCAACTTATATCCCCATACCAAAAAAGGGAAATGCGAAAGACTGCTCAAACTTCCGTACAGTGGCCCTTATTTCTCATGCCAGTAAGGTAATGCTCAAGATCCTGCAAGGAAGACTCCAGCAATACATGGAGCAAGAGTTGCCAGATGTTCAAGCTGGGTTTAGAAAAGGCAGAGGAACGAGAGACCAAATTGCCAATATCCGCTGGATAATGGAGAAAGGCAGGGAGTTTCAGAAAAACATCTACTTCTGCTTCATTGACTATTCTAAAGCCTTTGACTGTGTGGATCATAATAAATTGTGGCAAGTTCTTGGTGTGATGGGCATCCCAAGCCACCTTGTCTCTCTCCTGAGGAATCTGTACAAGGACCAAGTAGCAACAGTCAGAACTGACCACGGAACAACAGACTGGTTCAAGATTGGGAAAGGCGTACGGCAAGGCTGCATACTCTCACCCAACCTCTTTAACTTGTATGCAGAACACATCATGCGATGTGCGGGGCTTGATGAATGCAAAGCTGGGGTGAAAATTGCTGGAAGAAACATTAACAACCTCAGATATGCAGATGACACCACTCTGATGGCCGAAAGCGAGGAGGAGCTGAGGAGCCTTCTAATCAAGGTGAAAGAAGAAAGCGCAAAAGCTGGGTTGCAGCTAAACATAAAAAAACCAAGATTATGGCAACAAGAATGATTGACAACTGGGAAATAGAGGGAGAAAATGTGGAGGCCGTGACAGACTTTGTATTTCTAGGTGCAAAGATTACTGCAGATGCAGACTGTGGCCAGGAAATCAGAAGACGCTTACTTCTTGGGAGGAGAGCAATGTCACGAAGAGTCGGAGACGACTGAACGAATGAACAACAACAACAACAACACAATATAATTTATTTCATATTACATGTAATATTACTAATATTACAGTTTAGTGTTATAATACAATATGGTAATATATAATACTAATATTGTGCTGTGCTAATATATATTGTATACACATACAATATTGATATTATAATGTAATACAATATGCTAATTGTTGTTCATTCATTCAGTTGTCTCCGACTCTTCGTGACCTCATGGACCAGCCCACGCCAGAGCTCCCTGTCGGCCGTCACCACCCCCAGCTCCTTCAAGGTCAGTCCAGTCACTTCAAGGATGCCATCCATCCATCTTGCCCTTGGTCGGCCCCTCTTCCTTTTACCTTCCACTTTCCCCAGCATAATTGTCTTCTCTAGGCTTTGCTGTCTCCTCATGATGTGGCCAAAGTACTTCAACTTTGTCTCTAGTATCCTTCCCTCCAATGAGCAGTCGGGCTTTATTTCCTGGAGGATGGACTGGTTGAATCTTCTCACAGTCCAAGGCACTCCCAGAACTTTCCTCCCACACCACAGTTCAAAAGCATCTTCCTATTGATATTATAATGTAATCCAATATACTAATAATAATACAATATAATTTATTTCATATTACATGTAATATTACTAATAATATTACAGTGTAGTGGTATAGTACAATATGGTAATACATAATACTAATATTGTACTATACTAATAAAATATATTGTATACACATATAATATTGATAATATAATTTTTTTTGTCATGTCAGGAGTGACTTGAGAAACTGCAAGTCGTTTCTGGTGTGAGAGAATTGGTCGTCTTTAAGGACACTGCCCAGGGGACGCCCGGATGTTTTACCATCCTTGTGGGAGGCTTCTCTCATGTCCCTGCAATGGGGAGCTGGAGCTGATAGATTGAGCTCATCCACACTCTCCCTAGATTCGAACCTGTGACCTGTCAGTCTTCAGTCCTGCCGGCACAAGGGTTTAACCACTGCGCCACTGGGGGCTCCTATATAGTAATATATAACACTAATATTGTACTATACTAATAATATAATATATTGTATACACATATAATATTGATAATATAATGTAATGCAAGCCGCCCTGAGTCCCCTTCGGGGAGATGGTGGCGGAGTATAAAGATTATTATTATATTATTATATAATACTAATAATAATGCAATATAATAATTCTATATGTCATATTACATGTAATATTACTAATAATATTACAGTGTAGCGGTATAGTACAATATACTAATATATAATACTAATATTGTGCTGTGCTAATAATGAAATACTAGTAATAACACAATATAATAATTTTATATTTCATATTACATGTAATATTACTAATAATATTACAGTATAGTGGTTTAGTACAATATAGTAATATACAGTATAATACTAATATTGTGCTATGGTAATATATACAAATATAATATTGATATTACAGTATAGTGATATAGTAAAATATAGTAAAATATAATACTAATTTTGTGCTGTGCTAATATTATAATAATATTGCAATATAATTTTATATTTCATATTACTTGTAATATTACTAATAATATTATTCCACTATAGTGGTCTAGTATGATATAGTAATGTATAATACTAATATGGTGCTATGCTAATACTATAATATATTGTATGTACATATAACTTGTAAGCCGCTCTGAGTCCCCTTCGGGGTGAGAAAGACGGCACATAAATGTCATAAATAAATAAATAAATATTCCAGTCCAAAGCAAATATGGGATTTTATTCAGCTGTGTGGGAGGGGCCCCAGATCTAGTTGTAGTTTTACAAAGCTTTCAGCCTTCTCTGCCAATTCTAGTTGTTTATTCATTCAGTTCCTTCCGACTCTTCGTGACCTCATGGACCAACCAATGCCAGAGCTCCCTTTTGGCCGTGGCCACCCCCAGCTCTTTCAAGGTCAAGCCAGTCATTTCTAGGATAACATCAATCTATCCTGCCCTTGGTTGGCCCCTCTTCCTTTTTCCTTCCATTTCCCCCAGCATCATTGTCTTCTCTAAGCTCTCCTGTCTTCTCATTATGTGGCCAAAGTACTTCATCTTTTCCTCTAATATCCTTCCCTCCAAAGAGAAGTCGAGCTTTATTTCCTGAAGTATGGACTGGTTGCATCTTCTCACGGTCCAAGGCACTCTCAGAATTTTCCTCCAACACCACAGCTCAAAAGCGTCTATCTTTCTTCGCTCAGCCTTCCTTATGGTCCCGCTCTCACATCCATAGGTTTAGGTTACTATAGGGAATACCATTGCTTTAACTATGTGGATCTTTGTTGCCTCTGCTCTTCACTATTTTATTGAGATTGGTCATTGCTAGTTTTGGAGCTAGGTGCCACCTCTATGCGGATGACACACAGCTCTACTACTCCTTTCCACCTAATTCCAAGGAGGCCTCTTGGGTGCTGGACGAGTGAGAAGTTTAGCTTAACTTCTAAAGAGAAGTTTAGCTTAACTTCTGTAGACTGCACCCTGGAGTCTATCTGGATGAGGAGGAACAAGCTGAAGATCAATCCCGACAAGACAGAGGTCCTTCTGGTCGATCGCAAACCTGACCGGGGTATAGGGTGGCAACCTGTGCTGGACGGGGTTACACTCCCCCTGAAGTCACAGGTCCGCAGTTTGGGAGTCCTCATGGATTCAACGCTCTCGCTTGAGGCTCAGGCGTCGGCGGTGTCCGGGAGGGCTTTCGCACAATTGAGACTCGTGCGCCAACTGCGACCGTACCTCGCGAAGGCGGATCTGGCCGGAGTGGTCCATGCCTTGGTCACCTCCAGATTGGACTACTGCAATGCGCTCTACGTGGGGCTGCCCTTGAAGACGGCTCGGAAGCTCCAACTGGTCCAACGATCAGCAGCCAGGATGCTAACGGGGGCCCCTTACAGAGAGAGGTCAACCCTCCTGTTTAAGGAACTCCACTGGCTGCCGTTTATATTCCGAGCCCAATTTAAGGTGCAGGTGCTTACCTACAAAGCCCTGAACGGTTTGGGACCAGCCTACCTGCGTGACCGCATTTCCATCTACGAACCCACGTTCACTTCGGTCATCTGGAGAGGCCCTGCTCGTGATCCCACCGGCGTCGCAAGCGCGCTTGGTGGGGACGCGGGACAGGGCCTTTTCCGTGGTGGCCCCCCGACTCTGGAACACCCTCCCCAAAGACCTTAGACAGGCCCCTTCATTGGCTATCTTCAGAAAGAACTTAAAAACCTGGCTTTTCCGATGCGCCTTCCCAGATTAGGAAATCTCCACTACCGAGTCCCACAAGCACTTTACCAGAACCAATGATTGCTGCACTCCGCACATCGCACTTGCCCTAGTAACCCTTTATACACCTCCTGTCAAATCAGCACTTTTAATCCTTGTACCCATCTTTTGGCCCGGCCCAGTTTTATTGTGTTTTAATGTACTGTGCTTGTTGTTTACTTTGCTTTAATTTGTTTTTAATTGTTGATTTGCTTGATTGTATTGTTATGTTGTGTTGTTGAGGCCTCGGCCTGTGTAAGCCGCATCGAATCCTCTGGGAGATGCTAGCGGGGTACAAATAAAGTTTAATAATAATAATAATAATAATGGTCTCCTCACAAGAAGTAAATGTCTTCTGATTTCCTGGCTGCAGTCTGTGTCTGCAGTAATGTTTGCGCCTAGAAATGCAGTCTGTCACTGCCTCCACATTTTCTCCCTCTATTTGCCAGTTATTAATCAATCTGGTTGCCATAATCTTGGTTTTTTTATGTTTAACTGCAACCCAGCTTTTGAACTTCCTTCTTTCACCTTGGTTAGAAGGCTTCTCAGTGGTATCATCTACACCTGTAGATGATACAATTCTTAACAGCCGCATCTTTCTTTCCCTGTTCATAAAGCAAGGATAAGACTTCTTACTGGCTGTTAGGAATTGTGGGAGTTGAAGTCCAAAACACTTGGAGGGCCAAAGTTTGCTCATGCCTACCCTAACCTATCAAAGTGTTTTCTTGGATAGGTTTTTTTATGTTTAACTGCAACCCAGCTTTTGAACTTCCTTCTTTCACCTTGGTTAGAAGGCTTCTCAGTGGTATCATCTACACCTGTAGATGATACAATTCTTAACAGCCACATCTTTCTTTCCCTGTTCATAAAGCAAGGATAAGACTTCTTACTGGCTGTTAGGAATTGTGGGAGTTGAAGTCCAAAACACTTGGAGGGCCAAAGTTTGCTCACGCCTACCCTAACCTATCAAAGTGTTTTCTTGGAAAGTTATTGAGAGGGTCATCTTCACCTTCCTTTGAGACTGAGTGTGACTTGCCCAAACAAACACATTGGTTTTTCACAGCTGAATTGGGAGCCGATCCTTGGTCTCCAGGACCATAATGCAATGACAAACTACTTCACCATACTGGCTCTTAAAAGAGAAGTTTAGCTTAACTTCTGTAGACTGCACCCTGTTTTATCAGATTAAATTGCTTTTGCTCTGAAGGCTTTTTGCTCCACGTAGATGGTGGTTCTGGGATAACCGGTATTGTTTTCTTTTTTCTGCTTAAGCAATAACAGCAAGTAGAAAACACAGAATAGTTAAATCAGGCTTGGGCAAACTTTGGCCCTCCAGGTGTTTTGGACTTCAATCCCCACTGCTAGGAATTGTGGGAGTTGAAGTCCAAACCACCTGGAGGGCTGAAGTTTGCTGATGCCTGGGTTAGACTGATTTTCTACTGATAATACTGAATGAGTAAGCTGTGCATGGTGAGAAGAAACGCTTCTCACATACAAATAAACGATTGTTAATCTGTACGTTGCTACATCAACCTTTAGCAAATGACATGCCTATGTCCAGAGTGTGTTCCCCTCACCCCAAAATTAGCGATATTTAACTGGACATAACCCAGGAGAGGGGAATGCAGGGCGACACAAAGAAGAAAAGTACATAATTGTTCATCGGTTGGCCCTTCTTCAGTTAACCGCCATTGTGAAAATAAATCCAGCAAGCACTAGAAATGTATCAGATGACTAGGAAACCATACTGGTTATAACAGATGGGCAAACTTTGGACCTTTAGGTGTTTTGGACTTCAACTCTCACAATTCCTAACAGGTGGTAGGCTGTTAGGAATTGTAGGAATTGAAGTCCAGAACACCTGGAGGTCCGAAGTTTGCCCATGTCTGGGTTGTAAGGTGTCCTGACACAATAACTGGTAGACAATGGGGTCATCCTAATAAAGATGTCTGTGCCTCCTGCATGGTGGTGTTATGTGGCTGTTGTTGGAGGAAGCTGGGAGAAACAAGAGCCATTTATTACTTGTGCCATCTTACTGAGCTACAGGCCAGTCACTAGAGGCTATCACTTCGCATTTTGCGGTTCATACATTATTGTCCCTTTCTCTATCCCTTTTCTGTGCTAGACTGACACTGGGATTAAATTAATCGGAAGGCAAAGGCTGTGGCTTTTTTGTGTACATCAGCTGCACACACTGGGCATTTGTTTTCCATGTACATGGCAAAGATCCCAAAACACTGTAACAGCTTCTGTGGATATATGGTCAGATTAGTGTTCTGCAAGCCCTCTGGTGGCACAGTGTGTTAAACCCTGCTGAACTTACTGACCAAAAGGTTGGCAGTTTGAATCGGGGTGTGGGATTTTTTTTTTGTCTTGTCAGGTGTGACTCCTGGTGTGAGAGAATTGGCCATCTGCAAGGACGTTGCCCAGGGGACGCCCGGATGATTTGATGTTTTTATCATCCTTGTGGGAGGCTTCTCTCATGTCCCCGCATGAGGAGCTGGAGCTGATAGAGGGAACTCATCCTCCTCTCCCCGGATTCGAACCTGCGACCTGTCGGTCTTCAGTCATGCCGGCACAGGGGTTTAACCCACTGCTCCACCGGGGTGCGGGATGAGTTCATACTGTTAGGCCCAGCTTCTGTCAACCTAGCAGTTTGAAAACATACAAATATAAGTAGATCAATAGGTACTGCTTCTGCAGGAAGGTAACTGCGCTCCATGCAGTCATGCCGGACATATGACCTTGAAGGTGTCTATGGATAACGCCAACTCTTCGGCTTAGAAATGGAGATGAGCACCACCCTCAGAGTCAGACATGACCAGACTTAATGTTAGGGGAAACCTATATCTTGACCTAGTGTTCTGCAAATACTGACTGATGAAAGGAAGGTGTTTGCAGTTTTTTCGGTTGTGGGAGATGCCTTGGTTTTGGATAAGGTGATTGGCCACTTGGCTACCACTATGATAAACGTAGAAGACTCCTTGGGTATCACATGTGGCTGACACTCATCAGCTGCAGAGATGCTGAAGTGTCTCCCAGGATTATCACATCAGCCTTCATATACACAGCAGCTCTTACACTGCTGAGTTTGCTGTTTGAGAATAGGATCACAATTAGAACACAAAGACATAACTCCTGATGTATTCACCCAGCATACCAGGGGCATAGGACTTCACTAGTTACTGTAGCATAAGGATAAAGAATTAGTATGAAATTAGCTTTTATTTTTTGCTTCAAAATAAACAGGTTTAACATTTATTCATAATAGAAACTAAGGAAGATGTGTGGATTTTGGAAGAAAATCCAATGTATCTGCAAACAGTTCTAAGTTCGTCCCCTACCTCACTTAGCAAAGGCTATAACCAAGAGTTTTTAGTAGTATTTTGGTCTGTTGCTTAATGGTTAGAAGAGACACAGCAGTCCCCAAACTAGTATGGACCAAAGAGAGGAAGGGAGAGGGGGGAGGGACACAAAATTCTCATAGTATTCAATCTCATGTGTTGTAGCCACAAGAGAGTAAAGAAAAATCCTTACAAAAGTGATTAAGGTCAGCATAGCCCTGAAACTTAGTTCTTGTATCTCAGCAGTGGTAGGAATACTTCGATGTTTCAGCAGGTTTTATAGCATTAACTCTTTTAACAAGTTTGATTCTTGTTCACCAGAGGGAAGTTTTATATTTGAAATCCAGCTTCAGCAAGTACTTCAGATTTACCTGAGCAACATCATAGACGATATATCTGAAACAACAAGTTAAGGCTAGACCTTGTAAAACAAATTTCACCAAAACAAAACATTAGTCTCACGTGAGTGCTTTCAATTCTTAAAGTAGCAATAGTGGGGAAGATAGCCAACCTGAACCTCTTTTATTCTTTCTGTGCAGATATATATATATATATATATATATGGGCAAACACTTGTGGCAACACAATTCAAACACTTCTAGTATTTCTGTCAACAACTGATGTTCTTGCCTCTTTTCTCAGTTACAAAATTTTACTTACCCATATATACTTGAGTATAAGCCAACCTGAATATAAGCCTGGGCACCTAATTTTACAAAAAAAACCCAAAAAAAAAAACCAAACAAACAAACAAACTGGGAAAACTTACTGACTCAAGTATAAGTCGAAGGTGGGAAATGCAGCCACTACTGGTAAATTTCAAAATAAAAAGAAATACCAATAAAATTACATTAATTGAGGTATCAGTAGGTTAAATGTTTTTGAATATTTACATAAAACTGTAATTTAAGATACCACTGTCCAACTCTGATTAAACCATTATTCTAACCTTCTTCAATGTAAATATTCTTACATATCCTTCTAAATAAAGAGAATAAAATAATAAATGTAATAATAATAATAATAATAGAGTAAAATAATGGAAATGTAATAACAATAACAGTAGAGTAAAATAATGTAATAATAAAATAGATTAAAATAATTAATGTAATAATAGAGTAAGATAATAAATGTAATAAAAATAATAAAAATAGAGTATAATAATGTAAATGTAATAATAGAGAAAAATAATAAATGTAATAATAGAATAAAATAATGTAAATGTCATAATAATAATAATCATATTAAATAGAGTAAAGTAATAAATGCAATAACTTTGATTCGAGTATAAGCCGAGGGGAGCTTTTTCAGCCTAAAAAAAGGGCTGAAAAATTCAGCGTATACTCGAGTATATATGGTATTTAATTTGTACTATTAACCACCTCTGTGCTATATAAAATGGTATACAATCTAAAATCCAGCATTATTTTTAAACGCACAAATAAATTTAAATATCTCACTACAAATTGTAACAGTCGCTCTCAAAGGCTATGATAGTCAGCTAATTTTACATTTTTAACATTGTGTGAGAGATGGAACCACCCTATAACTTCATTCTATTTCAAGGTGATATTAAATTGAACATTCTCCAAGGAATGGCAGCCATACCAGCAGCTCTTCCGATTACATTCATAGCAGAGGAGCGAGGAAAAAAGAATGATAATGTTTTTCAGTAGATGCCAGACTACCATATGTTTAAGACAAAACATTCCAATGATTCAAACATTTTATGGATATTATTCTTCATTCATGTCATCTGATTTTTGAAACTAAGCATAGTTAAATGTGTTAGTTCTTCCATGGAAGACCATGCTGTAATGAGGAAAAAGTTTGAAACTGGAGAGGTACTGTTAGTCAGTTGTCAATACTGGGCTCACTGGACCCAATCAATACTTCCAAATATCTTAGATAACTTCCAAATATCCTAGATTAAAACTGTCAATGAAAATAGGCTGGCAGCTGTCACAACTGTACTCAGCTCTAAGGCTTTGTGCTCACAAATCCTAAAAGTGTATATGTGCATTATCAGCTTCATACTTTTAACAAATCAATAAAAGTGTGCAGTTTGGTGAGCTACTTCAAATATTCTTATGGAAAAATGGCCCTATAATCTGTCAGTCCAAAGATTCAGGTTACATCAGGAACTATAATTCAGGAGGGTAAACAAAGCTCTTTTGAGGAGAATTCTAAATCTATCACCAATCTATAAATCGATTTATAGTTTATATTTAATACGATTAAGCCATGACAACATGATACAAAACTGATATAACTGCCAGACAGTTTAAAGAAGACTTGTTAGAAGGATCTATTTTCTCACCATGTAAGGCAGCTTCTGCTGTGTTCTTAACAAAGAGTAAATTCTGAACTAAACAGAGCACGCTGAAGATTATAATACCCAAGTATTAAGCCATGTTTGATGGTAGCAGGTTCTCCTAAAGGACATTCCACCATCTCCTGCCTCAAAGTGGCCACCTGGCAAAGTAAATCAAGGCAAATCATAAAGACCCATACATTTTCATTACAGATGCAGGCATGGGTTCATACTTGTGCCTTCGAGGCCAGAATACAGTTTGTGAAATAAGGAACCTGATCCTCCTTAAACCAGTGCTATTTGCTAAGTGATCCAATGGCAACCCACAAGCCGTCAGCTTCTTGTCCACAGTGAGTCACTGGTACAATGGGCAGAAAAAAAGGAGTTGCCAGATAACAGAAAAAAAAGGTCCCCAGATAACTTGAGAGGTGCTACTCAACAGCCCACTTGTGTTTTCCACATGATTACTGTGCAGGGCATTCTTTTTCTGTGTCTGAGAAAATTATTATTACTACTATTATTTACCTACCTCTCCCTGTGGCTCAAAGTGGAAACAATAACCAATAGTATCATAGTATCCCTGGTGGCGCAATGGGTTGAACCCTTGTGCTGGCAGGACTGCTGACTGAAAGGTCTGTGTTTTGAATCTGGGGAGTGGGGTCTGTCAGCTCCAGCTTCTCATATGTGGATATGAGAGAGGTCTTCCATAGGATGGTAAAACATTTGGGTATTCCCTGGGCAACATCCTTGCTGACGGCTAAGTCTCTCACACCAGAAGCAATTTACAGTTTCTCAAGTCACTCCTGACATGAAAAAAAACATTATAGTGGCATAACTACACCAGAGATATGATGACTGAAGGAAGTAGAAACAGGCTGCTAGGAAACTGCCATCTTCTGGCAGACAGAAGCAAACATCTTCTGGCTGGCTGACACTTTCTGTTTGGCAATTGTTACTGTAATATTGACATCACTAGAGAAATACTACTCAAAGGATACTCGTTATATAAAAGACAGGTATTGCTAACTCCAGATGGGATGCCAGGGCCTAAAGGAACATCCACGCCATTAAGAGACACTGTGGCTGAAGGATCTGGTGCTGTTTTGCCCAAACCTTTATAGAAGAAAAACAAACAAAATTCAAATGGATGAATTCACATTTGTGCTAAAACTAATTTTGAACATGTAGGTAACTTTACTCAAGAAGAGAAGTACAGGCAATTCCCAAGTCACAAACAAGATAGATTCTGTAGGTTTGTCCCCAAGTTGAATTTGTTTGTCAGTTGGAATAGGTACATTTAAAAAGTATAAACTCCATATATAGATATAAGCTTTCGACAGCACAGGGAAGGGTGAAAACCCCTGTGTTTTACTGTCAGTGTCCCTGTTCAGAAAATGTCACCTCACTTTCTGTCCCTGTGATCACTGGGTTTTGGAAAAAAATTCACTTGTGGAAACAAGGATTAGTGATAAGGTTTCAACTGAAACACATTTTCCTCATGATAGCTCTTTCCGAAGTGAATTTCCCTTCCAAGGGGTAGATTTCTCTCACTTTCTGTTATCTCACCCTTGTTCTTAACTATGAGTCATTTTAAAGTCGGATGTTTGTAACTCGGGACTGCCTATATTGAGGAAAATGCACTATATTCTGGTTCATGAAGGTATTGAGGGAAACATTTAGAGGCAATGCTTCCATAAATTTTGGAAGCTAGAGGAATTGTTACTAACTTAGAAATTATGTATAAGCAATCCAAATTGACTCAAAATTTGAATTCCTTAGAATAGGTTATAGGTTAAATAAAAGAATAGGTTAAATAAAATCCCTCAAAGACTATAAGAGCAAAGTCTCATGTCCGTTTAGTCATTACAAAGGATCCTTGACTCCCATGGCACATTTAAGACTAAACATTTATACAGCACCAGTACTACTGCATCAACCAGGCCTGTAGCCGGGGGTGGGGGATGGGTTAGGGGTTCAACCCCCTCCCCCCGAAATTTTTTTCTGGCTACATCCCTGGCATCAACTATGTTATTTTAAATCTCTCAAGAGAATGGGCTAAATCCAATGTCAGTCCTACCTGAAGGAGACCCACTGAAATAATGGAACTTTAGCTGCAACCAACATGTCTGACATATTTCAGTAGGCCCACTGTAGGTAGGATTAATAGATTTAGGTCAACATTTATAATGTCATTTCCAGTGGGATTTTACCTTTGACGCTGTGTTTTCCTTTCGGTAACTTGGTTATATGAGAGGCATTTTTCAGTTCATACCTACCAAATAAAAAGAAGGATACATTCAAAACAGTACCTAGGAGTCCTCTGTTGCTAGTAAGAGTTTCACAGTTACATCTGATAAACAAGTTTTGTTGATTGATATTATTTAAGCATCTCACTGTTTTTGAATGCGCACCATAATTGGGTGCTCTGCTGAGCTCAGTACAAACACATTTGTACTTCTCAAATAATCTCCTATACAGCAAAGGCTTTTAAAAAAGTAAATCAAGCTCCCAAACTGGATTTTTGAAATTATCAGGTGCCATTCCATACTTGCAGAAGTACTTTCAAAATGCTACTCACATATTTCCAAGGGCAACTTCTCCCAGCAAGATTAAGCCTACTGAATCAGTCTGCGAAGTATGACAGTAGTTGGCACTCTTAGACACCATATCTGCAAAGTAGATACCTTTCCCAAACATGTAGCCAGTCTACAAGAAAAATAAATGGGCATGTTAACAGAAAATGGTATCTGTTGTCTAAAAATCCCAACCAGGAAATTATAATGAAAAATATTCAGAGAATCACAGGCAGCCCACATGTTTTCATCCAGAAAAACTTTCATTTCGGGTAAACATACTACAGATTGACTCTCTTTTACCCAAAATACTTTGGACCAAACATTTTTCAGATTTTGGAATGAACATATACAGAGCAAATGAAGGATGGGAAAAGGCGGCTAGTTACATGTCCAGTGCTTACTAAGTTCTTCCTCAAGACTGAAAGGGAAAGGAGGGGAGGACTCTGCTTACAAAGGCGATGTCTCAGCCACTTTCCTGGCTGTGTAAATGTGGTAAATAAAAGTGTGAATAAATAAATAAATAAATAAGGTAGAACATATCTTTTCTATCTTATTTATTTATCACATTTATACCCCACTCTTTTCACCCTGAAGGGGATTCAGAGCGGCCTTACAAAAGGCAACAATTTGATGCAGCAAAAATAAGCACAAATAAAATTAACAAATACACTAAAATCCAAACAGTTCAAACATCAACATTAAAACCATCAATTAAAATCACACAATCCAAATAATAATTTAGAGCTGTTCCATTTGTCATTGTATTATTTCGTAATCACATACTGCACCCCTCCAAAGTTACTGACTAAAGGCTTGGTCCCAAAACCGCATTTTTAGTTTTTTCCTGAAAGTAAGAAGGGAGGGGGCTGATCAAATATCTCTAGGGGGGGAGTTCCATAGACAAGGGGGTCATCACTAAGAAGGCCCTGTCTCATCCCCACCAACTGCACCTGTGAAGACGGTCGGGCCGAGAGCAGGGCCTCCCCCTGCAATCTTAACCTCTGAGGTGGATCATAGAGGGAGACACCTTTTAGTAAAGTATCCTAGAAGAGAGGGGGAAATCCTTTCCCACTTCTCCATGAGTCCTTCATTCTCTCTGTGCTGGACAGAGGCAGCAGCCAATGGGTTTATGTGCTTGCCTTCACAGCCACTGGCCAAATGAAAAACTAATATGGAAGCATCTAAGATTTTCAGGAGTTTTATGTAAGCAAAACTTCCCCCTCCCTTTTCCCCATTAGGATCCTTAAGAAAAATTCATTTGGCAATGGACAAGTGGCTACTCCCTTTTCTCCAAAGTGGGGGTCAGCTGCTGTTGGCAAAATGTACAGAGTTTTGGAGTATTTTGAATTTCTCATCAAGGGAAATTCAACCTAAAATATTTATAAGGTTAATAGAGAAAGGGTCGATAAGAGACAGCGTTTGAGTAAGAACTTTTCCCCTTGATGTTTTTACCTATAATTCTGAAACTGGAAATCAGGAAATACATTTATTCCAGATAATATTAAGCATCAGCTTTTATTTCAATTTTTTAAACCTTTACCTCCATCTGTTGAATCTGACAGCTTTTTTATGAAATTCTACTTGTGATTCACTGTGATCTGGGTTGCACAGAATGAGTTGTCAGAGGCTGATGAACAGATGGTACTCCCCCAATGATGAAGATGGATCGGCTTGGCTTTCCATGATACTTTTAGCTTTTGCACAATACATCATTTAGGTTTATAAGAATAGATATTTCTGCTTTTGAGTACATTCTTTTTCATATTTGTTAGTTTATTTTTTATAATTGATACATCTATTCAATTAACACATTTTTGCCATACAAGTCTTTGCCATACAAGTCTTATCTCGATATACATTATTTCAAAAATCACTTTTCCTTATATGACGCTTCATACATTCCTTAGATGTGTATCTCCCATTACCCATGCCCCCCCCCCATTTCCCCCTCTTCCTGGAACAGCAATTCCAAATGATGTCATTGCATCAATTTAACTGTGTGAAAAGCCTATTTCAAGGTACTATATCTATCATCTCTGCCTATTTTATCAGTTAGAATAGGCCATTTCCTGATTTGTATGAATTAGGAAACCAGGAAATCAGAAGACATTTGTATACTTATTTTTCCTTTGATAAATGAAATAATTGATTATGTATTCCGAGAGATAATCCACCAAATTTCCAAATCTCATTTTGTATTGTTTCTCCATCCTTGGGCTATGGTAGCCTGTCTTGCAGCTATCATACATTTTAGGATTTCTGTCCAATTATTGTAATCTTCCTTTGCCTCTATAGTGAGAGACACGAACCTGGCTTTACCCCACTTTATTTTTTTCCCTATTATTTCTTCCATTACATTTCTTATTTTACTGTAATAATTCTGAATTTTTCTACAATCCCACTTCATGTGGGAGAATGAACCTATTCCCCCACTCCTATGCCAACATTTGTTGGGAGGTATTTCCCATTGTGTGAGCTAACTGAAGGGGGTTCTGTATAATTTAGAGATTATTTTCCATTGGGTTTCTTTGATCCTCAAATGTTTAATTTTCTGAATGTTGTCAATCCATATAAAACAGATATTCCTGCTTTTGAGTTTATTCTTTTTCATTTTTGTTTGCTAGTATTCCACTTACCGCACCCTCAGCAATAAGGCAAGACATTATGTTTGCAGTAATATTAATACCAATCTGAATCGGGAGTGGAACGCAAGCAAAGAAGAGGAAGCTCTCTTTCAGCCTACAAAACTGCCAAAGTGCTAAGGGGAAGTCTCTGAATATTACAAGGATTCCCTTCACATAAGTGACTTTGCATGCTTCAAAAGCAAAGTCTGCCTGAATAAAAATATTTTAGCCTGCTACCAGAAGGACAACAGGGAGAAGGCTATTCCTGCACCCAGAGGCAGCCACCAAGAAGGCCCTGTCCTGCGTCCGCACTAATCATGATTGGAACTAAGAGAAGGGTCTTTCCTGAGGATCTCAAGAATTCAGGCAAGTTCATTCAGGGAGGTACAAATCTGCCAAATACAAGTTTAGCTTTGAACCGTATAGGGTTTTATAGATCATAACCAGTAATTTGAATTGTGCTTGGAAACAAACTGGCAGCCAGTGGAGCTACTGCACAAAGGAGTTGAGTGTTTCCTATAACCAGTACCAGCTGAAAATCTGGGCTTTGAACCAGGCAAAGTTCAAAGGCAACTCTTCAAAGGCAACTCCAAGTAGAATATGGTACACTAAACCAAACAGGAAGTAACTAAAGCATGCAACACCACTGCCAGATCTGGTGCCAAGAAAAACACTACAAGTCATTATGGAAAGAGTAACTTCCTGAATAAATAATCAGTGTCTAGAGTTTTTTAAACTTGATCTGAGCTACATTTGAAATAATTCCAAATGACACTTTTCCAATACCTTGTTGATTGAACATTTTCCTTCTTTCTACTGCAAGACATTACAGAATGAGAGTTCCAAAGCAGCGTGGGATAAATCATGCTTGGCACATGCCGCCAGCTGGCAAATTAGCAGTTTACATACCACAGGAGCTTCAGGGGGAGCTATTCGAAGACCTTGCGACAAAATACCAGCGTAGTTGGTCGCGCGAGAACCATGCCAGAGTAACTGACGATTGTGCAATTCTCGGAAAGGCTTATAACGCTGATTTTCTCCTTCACGTTCAATCTTGAAAATCTTTGCAAAGGAGAAAAAAAGGAGTTAATGTATGGCATAACAGTATTGCTGAACATTATTTTGACAGAAATATCTTAACTCTCTTAGTAAAGCATTTGTATATGTTCCAATGACATAGGTTAGCTGTAATCCAGTTAGAAAAATGAATGCGATTTTTAAAGATGCTTTGTAAGCACTCTTGATGAATGTTGTCATATTTCCCTTTTGTTCCTCACTCTCCTAGAACTAATCTTTGTGAGGATCAAATTAGACATTACTCTGGGCATTTGTGATTGCACTTTCCCAGGTCAGACAGGATGAGTGTGTGGATTGTGGAATACAGATTTCCCATCTCCAGAACTCTAATGAAATAGTGCTCTTTCCCTTGTTGCCGTTAGGAGAAGACATGTATATAAAATTATCCAATGACCTTCTGGCTCCAAGTTTCCTATACAGAATGCTCACATCTCCCTTATGCCGAGGCTTCACTTTTCACTGCAGAATAATGATTACAAAGGATTGTGCCAAGCTTTAGTACAGCAGGTTAAGCCACCAGCTGCAGTAAATCTTGTCAGTCGAAAGACTGCCAGTTCGTAGCCCGGGTCAGAGTGAGCTCCTGACCTTTAGCCCAATTTCTACCTACCTAGCGGTTTGAAAGCAAAATGTAAGTAGATAAATACGAGGGTTGGAACTTTAATAGTGGCAACACTGCTGTAAAGACGCCTTACCTCTGAGCAAAAAGACTCGCCCTTCCTATGTCATGCACATGAGGAGTGAGGCGAAGAACTGAGCCTTGTATTAGCTTGTGGTCTAAAGTAAGTGTTCTCATGATGTTTTCAAAACAAGAACAATGGAGTTGGATAAAGATTGAATGTGCCAGAGGTCGTACAGCACGACAGTGTCATCAAGGCCTTCAAGAGGCTTGTGGGGAATCTGCATTGTCTTACAGAACAGTGGCAAGGTGGGTAAAAGCCTTCAACGAAAGACGCCAAAATGTGGCAGACACTAGGACGACCTGGCCGATGCATGTACATGTACTTCGTAGTTACAACTTAAAAGCAGGGAGATATTCTGATGCACCCATAAGGAATGCTGCCAATTTAATCAAAGGAGGAAGTTACAAACAAAAACTCTTCAGCAAGGAGATGGAGCAACAGTACCCCCCCATGGCCGAAACGGAGAACAAAGCCTCCAAGATACCAAAAATGAAAAAAGACGGTATATACCTCTAACTATGTATAATTGCCTGTCTTATTTGTGTATACAAATGGCACTGAATGGTTGCTGCATATGCATGTTCTGTGATAATAAATAATTCCAGTTCAGTTTTCTAGGCATGGAGGGGAGGAATAGTGGCAGTTAGGAACCTCAAGGAAATTTTGAAGGAGCTTAGTATAATTCATTTTAAAATGTACCAACAAAATTAACACGTCAGTAAAAATGAATGCAGAAGTACAATGGAATATATTCATTTGGCAGAGAAAGAAAATATGAGGGACAGAAATTCTTCCTAGGTAACATCTGCCAGTGGATAGATAATTACGTAATGCTTCCCTTTGCCTTGGTCAGAGCAGGTTTTCTCCCATATCAGTCTTAAACATATGTGACAAGATTAAATGCCCATTTCTAGTCTCTTTCATACAGACACCAAGTACACTTGAGACCAATGAAGTAAAGCTAACACCAAATACAATCATACAGGAGTTTCTGTTTCTTTATAACAATTTTGACATAAATAATAAACAATTTAGCTAGGTGTTCAGTATAATGCATACACTAATGCCCAGCACGTAGAATAGTGGTTCTTACCTATGGGTCTCCTGGTGTTTGGCCTACAACTCTCAGAAATCCCAGCCAGTTTGCCAGCTGTTAGGATTTCTAGGAGTTGAAGGCCAAAACATCTGAGGATCCACAGGTTGAGAACCACTGATGTAGAACAAGTCCTTATATATTTGAAATTCCAAATATTTGCAGAACTCACCTCCACAACTTCCAAGTCATATGCATTGTGGGTACTTGCATGGGTATTCTTAACGTACTGCTTTATGATCTTGGCTTCATCTGTGTCTTTGTCTACTACCTATGAAGGAAGTTGAAAAGAAAAATTAATGCTTCCGTGATTCTCATTTGGTCTTTAACAACGTCAATAACAAAAACGAGACAAATCAGCAATTCAAATCTGAGGAGAGCAGTTAAGCTCTCTCTGTCAGCTCCAGCTCCCCATACAGGGACATGAAACAAGGATGGTAAAACATCAAACATCCAGGTGTCCTCTGAGCAACATCCTTGCAGACGGCCAATTCTTTCACACCAGAAGCAATTTGCAGTTTCTCAAGTCGCTCCCGCCACAAAAAATCTAATAATTAAAATATTGGCCTAAATCTTACTGTTATTGCTTATTATAGTACACTGATTTCAAAATCAATCAATCAATGGATTATGAAGTTAACAACCTGAGTGTCCAGAAGACAAGAGGGTACTTTCACCACTCAAGGACCAAATTGTTACAACTGCCTGGTATTTCCAAGCAGATACAAAATGTGCCATCCAAAATTTCCTGGGAAAATGGGAACAGAAAGCACCATATATTTCCCCTTCTCACCTTGATATCAGTCTTCAATTTTTCATAGTTCACATCTATTGGATCCTTATCCCCATCCTGAGCACCGCTCCTGAGTAGGCTGTAGGCCACCTCAATGTCAAGCAGATTGTCCAGCATCTCCACTTTGGACTAAATAGGCAGGATGATATGGTTATTCCTTATAGTAAACAGAATCCAGTCTTTAAAACTTCTTAACAGGTGGTTTGGGAAACTACCATTTTATTATAATGCCCCCCCCCCCCAAAAAAAAAATAATCAGAGACAAGGTCATTAGTTCCCTACTGATACTATAAACATATTATCTGCTCATTTTTGTTAAGATTTCATACAGGAGCTCAGAGTTATGGATATGGCTGTCATGGTATTCTATCACTAGAGGCTCCCATTTTATCCAGAGAACAATCCTATGGGTCAATTAGCCTGAGAGATGGCAACTGGCCCAAGGTCAGCCAATAAACCAGACATGGGAACACTCTGGAGTCTCTTGGGCCATTTTGTCTTCCTTCAGAAGTCTGAAAGGTTTCCTCCCTTTTACAATTCTAGATGACTATAAGTGATATCACATTTCGGGGCTTTTGGTTGAGATGTTTTTTAGGTCAAGGAGTCCTCTTCAAAATTCAACATCCCCAGATCTTTTCAATCACTGAGCCATATGTTCTGCTGGAATTATATATATAAATATATATAATTCCATCCCCCAAAACACACACACGTGTGTGTGTGTGTGTGTGTGTGTGTGTGTGTATGGGCCCCCTGGTGGTGCAGTGGGTTAAACTGCTGAGCTGCTGAACTTCCTGACCTAAAGGTTAGTGGTTCAAATGCGGGGAGTGGGGTGAGCTCTTGGTGTTAGCCCCAGCTTCTGCCAAAGTAACAGTTCAAAAACATGAAAGTGTGAGTAGCTCAATAGGTACTGCTTCTGCGAAAAGGTAATGGGGCTCCATGCAGTCATTCTGGCCACATGACCTTGGAAGTGTCTATGGACAATGCTGGCTCTTCGGCTTAGAAATGGAGATGAGCACCACGCCCCAGAGTCGGGCATGTTTAGAGTTTATGCCAAGAGGAAACCTTTACCTTTACACACACACATGTAGGTCTGGGAAGCTAAAATGACTGTAAATATAAAGAATTTCACTGAACACCTCACCCCAAGGGCAACTTGTAGGCCACGACAATTTCCAAACTCTCTTCACCACTCCAAATTGTCTGAGGCAAATGATGAATGTAACCAGAAATAATTTGAAACAAAATTGACATGAATGCCTGAGTACTAAAAGTAGAAGTATCAAAATGAAACTCTGTAGTTAAGCACCACATCTTTCCACCATCAATACCTTAATGTAGTCCAGACTGTTTAAAAGGGGAGGTTTTTTCATCCCAAAGTCATGAGGGATTAGAGTGTAAAAGCGATTGGAGAGATCCAGTATCTGTGAATCTGTGCCACCGTCAGAAACTGCCTATGAAAAAGAAAGGAAGCAGCAAAATGGACAAGGTTACGTTAAGACTGCAGTCTTGCATCCTTTGAAACAGCTGCAAAGTATGACTCCTAGAAGACATCAGATTTATATCTCCTCAAAACAGGAAAGACAAGAGACTCTTACTCAGCTGTCTTAATTAATACTCTGGGAGCTACTCCAATGTTCCTTACAAAGGAATCGGAATGTAAAAAAACAACACTCGGATTCATCATAATGCTTGATTTTTAAAAACCTGCTTACTAGTTTTTCAAATCTTAGGGGAGTTGCAGTGAAATAGTCATAAAACTGGATTTGAGCAAAATATTCTAACCTAAGAAAACATGCAGTCCAAAAAAAGAAAAAAAGGAAAAAGGAAAAAAGAAAGAGTATTTAATATTTAAGCAGCTACTGGGGTCTGTGCCAATAAATCTTTCACGAGCAGATTATAATTTTTTTTGTGAGCTTGAGTTTCAGCCATCAAGAAATGGTCTTATGAATGTGATGTTGAATTCCCTGGTAATATTCAGACCAGACAAACCAGAGAGCAAAGTAGAAACTTTGGCTTAACCCTAATTAGCATTTCTAGCCTCTCCTTACTGCTTGTTAGAGAACAATGGCACCCTAAAAAAGCATTAAGCCAAATTAGTTAGCGGTAAGGAACACAATGCCAAGTCCAACTTGAAAGCATTAACTTCAACTGCTTCCTCTACTGTTCACTTAGAAGACTTTGAAACCTGAAGGACCAAATTAGGACAATTCCTGGGCCAATTTGTAGGGAGGTCATTACATAGTCAAACCATGCCCTTTCTGTGCCACCATTCTGATTAACATTAATAACTTCCTCCAGCAAGAAAGGGAAATTGAAACAGAACAAAGCCATCTTTTCACTATATACACATGAGTTTACACTGTAAAAAACCCCTTAGTTTAATAATGCTAAACTGTAATTTACTGTGAGAGAAGAAAAGTGAGAATTCAGTTAACTCCCAGCACAGAATGTCTTATGAATTCCCCGCATTATTAGAAAAGTTCCTGTTTTTAATGCTCACCTGCTGAACCTCATTAAGGATGGAGTATGCACTCTGGATCTGCCTCTTACTTAGCTTCCCCAAAGGCATTTTCTGGAGGTCAATCTAAAGAAAAAGATAAATGGAAGTAATTAAACCAAGACTTCATTATTTGAAAACACCCAGGAAATAAGCTGGTGAAAAAAAACACTCGGCACATGTATCATTATGCTTCACAGAAAAAGCATCAACAATTTTTTGCAGGCAGGGCTTAACTCTATTTAATGTCATCTGGTGAGGTCATCCAGAGTTTTGGAGTCCAATGCCATCTCTATGCAGATGAAACCCAACTCTACTATTCCTTTCCACCAAATTCCAAGGAAATCGTTCAGATTCTGGATCAGTGACCGGCTGCTGTGATGGACTGGATGAGAGCTAACAAACTGAAGCTTAATCCTGACAAGACAGAGGTCCTTCTTGTCAGTCTTGCGGCCATTGGGTGGCAACTTGTGCTCAATGGGGGTTACACTTCCCCGAGGTCACAGTTCCGCAGTCTGGGGGGTCCTCCTGGACTCAACACTGAAGTTTGATGCTCAGGTGTCAGTGGTGGCCGGGAGGGCCTTTGCACAGTTAAAGCTTGTGCACCACCTGCGACAACACCTTGAGAAGTCTAACTTGGCCATGGTGGTCCATGCCTTAGTTGCCTCCAGATAGGATTATTGCAATGTGCTCTACATGGGGCTGCCTCTGAAGACGGGCCAAGAAATTGCAATTGGTACAAAGGTTGGTGGCCAGGTTGCTAACTGGAGCCAATTATAGGGAGGAGACAACCCCCCTCTATTAAAACAGCTCCATTGGCTGCCGATAAGTTTCCAGTTCCAAGTCTAGATGCAGGTTATTACCTACAAAACTCTAAATGGTTTGGGTCCAGTCTACCTTTGCAATCGCACCCTCCCCTGTGAACCTGCACAAGCTTTAAGATCTGCTGGGGAGGCCCTTCTCTCGCTTCCACCTCAGTCACAAGAGAAGTTGGTGGGGACGAGAGACAAGGCATTCACATTGGTGGCCCCCTGGCTCTGGAACGCTCTCCCTAAGGGGAATTAGATTAGCACCCACCCTGTCCACTTTCCGTAAAGACCTAACATCCTGGATGTTCCAATGTGCTTTTGATTAATCCAGTTCACTAGATGATTTGGCTCCTCCAGCCATAACTTAATACTTGGCTCTTGCACTTTATCATTAACTCTCCCCTTTGGGTTGGCTTGTCTAGCCCTAATGTGGCTACTGGCCCTTGCATTTTACTATCAGCTCATCCTGGCAATTGTACTACACAAACCCTTGCCTCGCCCTTAGTTTTGAGCATGTCCACTGTGCTTGGATACTGTTGTTGATTATGTTTTTATGAGGTTGTATATTTATTTTATTGTGCAATTTTTAAACTGTGTTGACCGGGCTTGGTCCCCATGTAAGGCGCCCTGAGTCCCTTCGGGGAGATGGTGGTGGGATACAGAATAAAGTTATATTATTAAATTATTATTAAAAGCCCACATAAATTGGTCAGTCTACAGACATTGTAAATTCCTACAGGACCCTTACTTCCTCAACTTCACTTCGTAAATTTCATGCTTAAAGATATCAACACTCAAAACCACACTCCTCAAGAAAACTTCTCAAATCAAAGGGAAATAATGCAAGGGGGGGGGGGCAATGCAATTTTAATCCAAGTTTGTTTTCTTTAAACTCATGATCTGCGTATGGACTCTGTTCATGGACAGCTTCTATGCTATTTGTTGTAAAGCTATGTCAAAAGCTATATTAAAAATCATGCAGTGGAAAAACCCACTAATACCAATAAACCAGTGTCTTAATATGACAAAAATGAGAACATGAAATAGTTCAAAGTCTGTGATGATTAATAACCTCAAATTCCACCATGGCCTTCTTCATGCTTTCCACATCAAAGATCATCTTAATAAGGTCTTGGACTGCCTTGTGAAGCTTTGATTTGGTTCCTGCACTCACTGTCAGTTTCTTTACCGCTTCTTCATCCTTGTGGGAGGAAAAGGAGAGAGCGTGTATGTGGGCCACACACATTTACAGATTAGGAAGCAAAATCTTGGGAGAGAGTAAGCATTCCAATTTATCAACTGATCTTAGAAATAAATCCACCCTGCCTGAAACTACCATATATATACTCAAGTATAAGCCAACCTGAATATAAGCCAAGGGACTTAATTTTACCACAAAAAACTGTGAAAATGTATTGACTCAACTATAAGCCAAGGTTGGGAAATGCAGAAGCTACAGGTAAATTTCAAAATAAAAATACATACCAATAAAATTACATTAATGGAGGCATCAGTAAGTTAAATGTTTTTGAATATTTACATAACACTGTAATTTAAGGTAAGATTGTCCAACTCTAATTGAACCATAAGTCTAACCTTCTTCAATGTAAATGTGATAACATATCCTTCCAATAATATTGGAGTTAAATAATAAATGTAATAAAAATAACAATAGAGTAAAAAAATGGATATGTAATACTAACATTAATAAGAGTAAAATAATGACTGTAATAATAATAATAATAATAATAATGTAAAACAATAAATGTAGTAATAATAAGAGTAAAATAATAACTGTAATAATAGAGTAAAATAATGTAAATGTAATAAAAATATAGTAAAACATTAAATGTAACAACAACAACAACAACAGAGTAAAGTAATAAATAATCCTGACTTGAGTATAAGCCATGGGGGGCTTTTTCTGCCTAAAAAAGGGCTGAAAACTTGATTTATATTCGAGTATATGCAGTACATTTTAAATTCTGTTCTAAACAATAACCCATTATTTTCTTCAGAGAAAAAAAACTGATGACAAATTTTGTTCAATTAGATCACTCAAGTAAAGCTGTGGTTCCTAGAAGAAAAATAATATCCAAGATAGGAGATCATATAGAGCTTTGAATGGAGATTACTGAACTTTCTGGAGTCAATTTTATGTCCCCAAATGTTGTGAAACTGAGGAGATAAAATGGCTCTCCAAAATCCTCCAATTTCTATTCCCAGGAGAAACCAGGATGGCCTCATTCCTGCTTGCCTTTTGCAGGCGAATGAGGACATATCTCTGACATCATTTATGTCGGGGATGATGAGGGAGGTTGTGGGTGGCCTTTGGGGTGGCCGGGGGAGGGATGTTTAGCTTTTAAATACAGTTTTAATTGTATTTTAACTGTTTTCACTTTTGTATCCATGACACAAATACTCTTTTAAAAATATTTTGTAGCTGCCTTGTTTTGGATTGTATCATGTTGTTGTTAGCCACTTTGAGTCCTGATGGGGAGAAAGACGGGACAGAAATAAAGTAAACAAATACTTCCAAAGACTGGCAAGTTAACCATCCCTGCCTTACACAGCTGAATTGTCATTTGGTTACTTCCATGCTTCCAGAAATCAAAATCAACTCGGCTCATATTGCTGTCTAATCTAACCATTATTGAGTTAAATAAGTTTATGGAAAACCAAGTCTGGATTCAACTCAGTATTTGATATAACAAGGCTGTACGCATGTCCTGGTGTTCTCCCAAATAATCCAAAGCATTTCCTATATGTGTTGATTGGGATGCACAGTGTGCAGAGTACCAGATGTTCTTGGACTGCAGCTCTCATCAGCTCTCACCACTGGCTGGCTCTATTGTCTGTTGAAGGACCTGTTAGTCCTTCAACAGACAAAGGTAGCAAGATGCACACCTCATATGTTTCCAAAGAAGTGATTTTTGAGGGTAGCCATCATTACCTGTCCATAGTCTATTTCCAGAGGATAGAATTTCTTGGGATACTTTGTGAAATTTTTGGAATGCCAGGAGTTCCCTGTCTTTTCCTCATACAGATTCAGGAAATGTTCAATGGCTTCTTCTTTAGATGGCATCTGTTCTAGTTTATTGCTCCCAATGGTTGTGCCAACACGACCCCAGGAACGGAAAACCCAGTATCTACAATAAAAAGGAAATATGACAGAAAACTCTTTGAGAGAACATGCTTACAAATTCACATCCCATTAGTCCATTTCCAACAGCTGCAATGAACTGATCTGCCTATTGTCCTCTATCTAAATAATGTCACAATGACCTGAGAAAAAAAACATAACTACAGAAGAACCCAAAACCCTTGTGGATTTAGGAGCTGTGAAATATTGAGATTCCAAACCTAATGACAACAAAATCCTATTTGCAGTTTTGACTTTTGCAATTTTTTTATTTATTTATTTATTTATGTACTCTACCCTGAAGGGGACTCAAAGTGGCTTTACGTATAGCAATTATTCAATGCCTTTGAACAAGATCCTTTCTTGTTAGACTGTAGCCTGAAAGTTGTTTTTGATGTAACAGAGCTACTAGCCTTCTGCACAACTCCTTCTGGCACTGGATTCACATAATCCTTTTAGGAGAATGGAAAAAAGAATTAATGAGTGGAGTTCAGCAGTTCTGCTCAGGTCTCTCTCTATTAAAAGGTATCACATGTAGCAAACAAACATCACTAAAGAAGACAAGCTATAAAAGAAGTGTGTCAGAGAATTACCATTTAGGAACAAAGAAAAACAAACCTGAGTTCTCTGTCATCTTCCAGTAATTGAAGCTTATAATATGAATTTGTTCCCCTGACAATATCAACCAGACCAAGAGTGGCACTGAAGATTTTACCACCTTTTTCAAAGACATGAGCAGAATCTTCCAAGCCTTACAACAAGAAAAAAGAGAGAATATAAATGAGAGTTAAAGAGAAACACATTTCCCTTATACTAATCATCAGTTGAACTAGAACACCAGTCCTAATCAGCATAGGAATGCCTTCATTTTCCTTTTTATTTCAAATAGAAAGATGTTTCAAAAGAGAATTTCAACAGTCTGCAATTTATTTTAAATTATTTTATTTGTTTTACCATTTCCCACCCTACCAGAGCAGCTTTACTCCCCCCTCCCCGCAGGCATAATTTTGCTTTGATTTATTGTCCAAAGCCATTGCTCCGGTTGACAAAGTGCAAATTTTTGACACCACAATAGCAATCATGATGCAATTCCTTCCTCATTTCTAGGTTGTTTCCCTCCCTCTCTCCATCCCACCCCACCATAAATTTGCTATAGTTGTAGATTCAGATGTTGCAAGTCAAGGTGTAAACAAGCCAGAGTCCATAAGGCAAAACATACAGCAAGACTGGTCTGTGGCAGGTTAAGGAACCATGGCTTATTCATGGGAATGCACATTATAAAAACCCATGATGCAGGAAAGTGTTCATAACGGATAAGAGGCTACATTAAGGCCTCCCCAATCCTAAAGTTATCACAGAATACTCAAAACAAAGATATATCTATATCTTTAGATGGTTTGCTGAAATCACCTGAATCAGGATCTACAGCAGCACCGCCTTTCACTGTCAGCTTCATTTTCTTTTCAGACTTACTGGTTCCTAGACAAAGTGGAAGAGAAGGGAGGGAAGAAAATAAGAAGAATACAACAGTGAGTTAAATCAGCGTAAACATGGATATAATAATAAAACTTTATTTGTATCCTGCCCCGTCTCCCCAAGGGGACTTGGAGCAGCTTACAACACAATAACAGTGCAAACTATTACTGTTAATGACTTTTTTTTGCATTTCTGTATTTCTTTTAAAAAATAAAGCTGGAGGTGGCGTCTTCATCTTAAAGGAATCATTGTTCTTTCCTTACACAAAGATGGTGCCTGATATGAGATATGAGTAACGCAGGAGGCAAAAGTGAAGTTGGGAGAACTTTTGCCCTTCAAATATTAAAGATTTAAACTCCCATGGCTCCTTATTATTGTCACAGTGGATGAAATGGGCACTACAACCAAAACATATGGAAGGCCAAGTATCCCCACCCTTTGCAAGGGAATCTGAAATACAGGATAACACCAATGTTTTGAGGCTAATTTGTGAAATTATGAACTCATGCCCAAGTTGATCATCAGAATTCAGCAATGCAAGTTGACGCACAAATGGAAAAGAAGCTCCAATCCATTCATCAGATGTTAATTTAAAAGTATCAATTCCGTTGCTTTTCAGACGTGGAAAAACAGAGCACTTTGAGGGGATAGTTTGCTTATTTTAGCAATAGGATAGAAGCCCCAAGTAGCAAAATGGGTTAAACCCTTATGTCAGTAGTACTACTGACCAAAAGGTCAGCAGTTGGAATTCGTCTATCAGCTCCAGCTTCTCATGCGAGGACATGAGAGAAGCCTCCCACAGGATGGTAAAACATTCAGGGTTCCCCTGGGCAACATCCTTGCATATGGCCAATTCTCTCACATTAGAAGCAACTTGCAGTTTCTCAAGTCGCTCCTGACATGAAGGGGAAAAAAAGAAATAGGATGATTTTTTTGGCTTCCTTACAGGCAGCTAGCACCATCACTCTGTCAAGCAACGACAACAAGACAAAGGACTGGAGATGCCGTGGTTACATTTTGTGTTCCCCTTCACCTTGTTCTTCCTTGTTCTTTCCAATGCTTTTCATGTTCGTGTGTCCGCTGGATTTTTCTGCCACAAACACCTCTTTGTGCTCCTGCTTGACCTCTGTGCCCCACGGAGAGAGCGCATGGAGTGACAAAAGCTCCTGGAAGCCTTTGCTGGAGGACTTTGCATCCTGGAGGAACTCCTCTGAGACAACGCGCACCTGGGCCTGTTTCACCTCCTCCATCTTCTTATTCATCTTTTCAATTTCCTCTGAAAAGTTATTAACAGGAGTTAGGGAAAAGGGTGGAGAATAAAAGAAAAAGCAAACCTGAGCATCAGGGAACATCAGATACTTTTGCAAATGGGCATGAAACTTGTGATTTAGAGGCAGAGGTGATCTGATTCACTGACTCTCAGGAAGAGAACATGGGAACATTATTTTTTTGTAATAAACTGGATGGAAGATCCCCAAAAACATTTTTCCAAATTTATTTATTTGCTATATTTATATATTGCCCCTCTTAGCCCGTAGGCGACTCATTTTGAATGGAAATGCAGATGTTTTATATTCAGTTACACCATCTATTTCTCTATTACTCCTTACAAGGTTAGATCCCAAACTAGGCAATGAAGACAAAGCATATTCAGTGGATACAAAATGTTGAGAATTTATTTTGAGAAGGAAAACTTTGGAGTGGAGTGGATGATGGCATGCAGTCTTGCATCGCCCTAGTAACGGTTCTTACTTCTTATGTCTTCAAAATGTTTGAAGAGTTGAAACATTTGTATTTATTTCTGAAGCCTTCCACACAGACCCCTACCCCATCACTAGCTGTTATTCCTTTTCCAAAGTGCACTACCTTAACACTTCTGCTAATTGAAGTTTGTTAATGAAACCGAAAACAATTACTTACTTTGTGAGCTTATGCACAAGTTTGCTCTATTCACAGTAGCTGTCACCTTTCCTCCAAGTTCTTCAATGGCAGATTTGATTTCGTCCTTGTTTTTTGACAATTTCCCAAGGACTAAAATCTTCATGCTATTTAATGGTTTATCTGTTCATTCATGTGTAAATGTGCAGATTATGATTGGTAGATTAGGTGAGGAAGAGGGAAGAAAGACATACAAAATTATTCATATATTCAAAGCATGCATTTTAATAATAATAATAATAATAATAATAATAATAATAATAATACTAGTAACACTTTTTTTATAACCTTCCCTCTCTCCCCGAAGGGACTCAGGGCGGTTTCCAAAGTATAACAAAATGGCAAACATTCAATGCCAAAAACAAACAAATAATAATCAAGATGAAACATAAAATAATAATAATAATAATAATAATAATAACAACAATAACTTTATACCTTGCCTCCATCTCCCCAAAGGGACTCGAGATGGCTTAAATGGGGACGAACCCGGACAAACAGATTAAAACACAACATAATAAAATAAAAAATAAAAGAAACACATCATAACAACATAACACAACATCCTAAAACAATCCATAGAGTAATAAAAACTGAACTTGGAGGTCTAGGAGCTTGTGCAATAGTTTCAGGACTGAAAGATAATGCCATTTGGCATTTTAAACGCCAGGTCTATAGAGCAGGGAGCAATGATAAAGTGCAGGAGCTGATAGTAAATTATAGTTAGGGAGCTAATTATCTGGTGAACTGTTTAATCATAGGCACAGTGGAACATAAATAAACTAAATATAACTAAAAACATAATGTAACATAAACATAACATAAATAAACTAAATATAAACAACCAAAATTAACAAGGGTTAAACTAGATAAACATAACATAACACAAGGAGTCAAACCAATTAAAACACAATACATTAAAAACATAGCAAGCTGAGGTAGATATAAGATGTCAAGGCGAGGATCTGTGTAAAGTATGTTAATCCTCCTCCTCTCTATAAACTAGATTCCACAAGTAGGTCTTTTAAAGCATTTTAAAGGAGAGAAGGGGCCATTTTTAGTTCTTTAGAGATGGAGTTCCAGAAGCAGGGAGCAGCTATGGAGATGGCCCCTCTTTCATTCCCACCAACCGTGCCTGGGACGGGGGTGGAACCAAGAGCATTTTATGCTAAGAGAATCCAATTTTAACCAAAAACCCCTGTGCATAACAGTTTATATTGAGTATTCTGGGCAGTGAGAACCTATTCTTCCTTTTATTTTGTTGGATCTGCAACTCCTTTGGTTGCTGGCTGTGTTCTGTGTAACTTTCAATCAATATTGTTGTGTTTTTAAAAATAATATCACAATGTATTTTTATGTATTGTTTTAGGCTATGACAGTATTTAAATCCAGTATTTTTTTAAAAAAAATTCTTTAATAGAAACACTGGCCCACATGCCCCACTTACCTGCTGGGGTGGTGGAGTTTTCTATAACAGGCACGGAAACTGCTGGAGGTGGTATAGAGTTTGTAGATACAGCCTCTGGAGAGAAAGCTCTTTCCTGCTTTTTAAACTTGAATTTCTTCAGGTATGTGATTTCCCGAAAGGCCTGTGTTTCAGGAACATATGGAAAGAGATTTTTTTTTTTTAAAAAGAAATAAATAAAAAGATATCACAGGAGGGAGGAATCCCATATAGCAGTGGTTCCCAACCTGTGGTCTGTGGATCACCAGTGATCCGCAAGAAAGAAAATATGGTCCGTGGCCTCACCATGACTACACCGTTGCCTCAAAAATATGGATTTCTGTGGGCGAGCAGATGGCAGCTACTGGATGGCATATGTTCTGTATCAGAAAGTAGAGCTGATATGGTCTGTGCAATGCAATTTTCTGAATCAGTACCCCAAGTAACCAAACCAAATCTAAAGTTGACCAAAAACTGATTTGTAACCCTTTTGGTGCTAATGTTGGAGAGTGGTCCCTGGTCAAAGTGGTCCCTGGTCAAAAAAAGGTTGGGAACTACTGCCATAGAGTAAAACAATGAGATTCTGGAATGCTCCCAAACAACTTAAGAGCTCATCTGTAATAAATAGTTTTGTTACAGAGATCAAAATGCATCACTAGTATGCCACAAACAGTATGAGATAAGAAACTTGTTTAGAAATAAAAGTATGGTATAATCATAGTTTTTCTAGATGAGTTTAAATTTAGACAAAAGCCACCTTCATATCTGTTTCACTATATTTCCTAAACCAAAAACACATATACGTTCCATGCTTCTAATGCAATTTATATGGCTAAGAACAACTTACAATTAAAATAATAATAATAATAATAATAATAATACCAATAACAAAAATAGAAGCAGTTCAGTCAACAGAAGCCCAACAAAACATCATTTGAAACATTCACACCTAGCTCCAGCAAGGAAGAGCTCCTTGCCCCACCCCAGCCATTCCACAGATATATAAACCCATTGTCCTAATTCCAACAGACCTCACTACCTCTGAGGATGCTTGCCATAGATGCAGGCGAAACGTCAGGAGAAATGCCTCTAGAACATGGCCCTATAGCCCGAAAAAACCCACAAGAACCTAGTAAAACATCATTTGTTCAGCAGAATATTTTTCACATAATCAAAATTCAGGGAACACATTATTCTGTAATCTTGGGTGTAATTGTGTTTTCTCCATATAAGTGGCAAAAAAAAAAAAACAGATCTTCTCCACCAGATCTTAGGGAGCAGCAGCTGATGCAGATCCAAACTAGCCAAACATATGGATCTGTTACCCCTGGAAAACACTTGAGTGCAAACCCTTGAGGTGGAGGGAGAAGGGGAAGGGCACAAAGGAGGTACCAAAATGCAGAATAGCAAAGTGAGGGGAGTTGGGGGCTAGGACATTTCATGGAGCAATGACTGTGAAGCTGAAAGAGAAACAGACTCCCCCTTATCTCCCAGATGTGCTTCCTCCATCCATTCATCATGATACTTCAGATATTTACACCTAGCTGAATGAACAAGCAATTAAACAAGCTGCATTTTCTACCTTTGGGATGATCCATTCTTTCCTGTTGGGGGACTGTGTCTTGGCAACACATTTGGTCCAAGCCGTGATGTCCCCAGTGCAGTAGTAAGCATCACATTTGAACACAAACTGGCCTTTGCACTCCTCACAGGGCAGCAAAGCCCCAAAAGCCATCCCATCTGCAACACGGTCCAAGATCTATAGCAACAGAATGGCAGGAAGAGACAGGAAACAACAGAAGATATATTTATGGCACTTCACTAAGCAACATAGTCACAGTGCAACCCCATGCATCTTCATAGTCTGATCTACACTATGGTGACCATATGAATCTTTCTCAGCCGGGCCAGAAGTTGGAATATTAATTTTTGGACAATAGTTCTTATACCACTTCAGCTCTTGTGGCCAGTAGCCATGTGGGCTGGGGTATTCTGGCAATTATAGTCCCCCAAAAGTATCTTTTCTGACTGTATTTGGAGACATATGGAACAAAGGAAGGGTGGGGAAGCTTTCACTTCTTCAGTGTTTATGAGAAACTCCTATTATTCTTCACCAATACAAGGTCAACCAGAGCTGTTAGGAACCAGAGAGGTCACCTAATCCCGGAGCACAAGTCAGCACTGTACCTACTTCACTATATTTACTCATTTGAAAACATATATACATCCCATCCTTCCAGTGCAATTCACATGGCTAAGAGCAACTTGCAATTAAAATAAGAATACCAAAAACAAAAACAGAAGGAAGTTGCCTGCTAAATCTACATTTGTGAGTGACAACATGTGTGGTTTCTCTGAAAAAGTGAAATTCCATATTGGGGGCCATTAGGAAAGCAATTGATAATAAAATAATCTGCCAGAAAATTTCAGCAGCTCATGGAAGATTGCACAGTGAGAAACCAACATGTCGAACCCGCCCTAGTTGCTCACCAATTTTAAATGCTCATGATTTCTAGACTTATAGATGCGTTTTTAATGTATGTTACAGGAATGCCAATATATTTATGAGGTCCTGACTTTCTCACACATATTTCAAAGATGCGAGATATATATATATGTGTGTGTGTGTGTGTGTGTGTGTGTAATGGCTGTATAATGAAGTCTAACTCACAGCAGATTCTCCAGAAGGAACTTCCTGTTTGTTGGCAATTAGGAGCTCTTTGAGGTCATTGGTGGAACATGCTTTCTTTAGTTCATCTTTGATGTTCCAGATCAGCTCTGTCTGCTCCTGTGGACGTAACCCAGCACAAATGAGATTACTCTTAATGGACGTCAGTACACAGCTAAACCTCCTATACACTATGGCTCGGTCTTACGAAGAAGTCTCACCAATAAGAAAGATTATTTTTGTTGGCATTAAAAACAAGAGAGGCAATCCACTTCTAAGCCAAATATTCTGGGTTCCTAGATGCTGATGAACTACAGCTTCCAGGATCCTTATCACTGGCTATGCTTCTGAGAGTGGTCTATCCAGAACTCAAGTAGGGAACTATTGCTGTTGAAAATGAGACAGCTGGCATAAGCTTGCAGCTTTTTAAACTGCTTGTTTCCAAGTGAAATGGTGCTGACGTTAGAAGCACTTTCAGCTTCTCATTCAACACACCGCAAACCATCTGTGGACTTGAAATCAAATTCAGGACAGTGCCAATATAGAAGAATCGCATGCCAGGAGAAAAATCTATGCCTTGGATACCAGACCAGGAGAAAACTGACACAGAAATTAAAATACACTACTTTAAATTAATAACAATTTTTATTCCTGGGTTATAAATGTCATTCCCTAATTGGTTCTATCATAAAAACCTGGAAAAAGTTTATTAAACTGCAAAAACCTTGCAGCACATTTTGCTATAGTTCTTAAATGAATATGTCATCGAGTCTCAATCAATTCAACATAGTTTGTGGCAGCCACAAAAACCAAGTAAGTACCACACAATTACACAGAAATAACACTTTTAAACCAGGAACAGATTTTTTTTTCAAATTTGGTTACATAGTGTAAGAGGGCAATTAATCCAAACTAATGCTGTGCTTTTGAATTCTGTCTTTAAAAAGAGGTTTAAAAGACTGGTTGGTCATCAGAAAACAAACCTTTAGCAGTTTCTCCTGTTTTGATGGCTTTTCTTTCTCCTTTTTTGGTTTCTTTTTAGATACCACAGTAGCATCTACTTCATCTCCTTTTCTCTTTCTGAAAGTGATGGAAAATAAAAACATCCTTGTAGAATTAATGACTTCAGGTTATAAACAATTAACTTTCATCTGATTCTTTAGATGGAGAATCTCTGGCCCTTCAGGGTTATGATCTACAACTCTTACACTTTCACTCAGTATGACCAATGTTAAGAATCTTTGGACCTCCAAATTATCTAGAGGGCCAAAACCTACAATCTACTCAGCTACTCCAATTAAAACAATGAAAAACATCCTATTAAGCGTGCAAACACTCTTGAGTCATGTGCGTATATGTGAGTATTTGTCTTTAAACTGACTGATGGTGATCTCATGAATTTCACACAGTTTCCCTAGACGGGTAGTATTCAAGAGGTGGTTTTTGCCAGTTCTTTCCTCTGAAATATAGCCTATACATTGGAATTTTCCCACTCCAGTACTAGAATGGGCTGACCCTGCTTAGCTTCCAAGTTCAGATGGGATCCAGTGCCCTTAAATTATTTAGCCACACACAATTAAATGATTAAATCAACTAAGAATGTAACATAAGGTAAAATTGCCCTGGCTGACTGTGATCACCAATGGCAAGGAAAAAGGCAGTTTGCTTGGAAGGAGATAAAGGCTTCTCCCAGTGAACCATGGTCTGGGAGATCTCATACTCATAGCTAGCAGAACAACAATTGTCTAAGAGTTTCATACTCTTCTTTATGCCATCTCACAAGGTTATTAATGTCAGACAGGCCCAGGGAAAAAATATATTGGTACTTAAAAGCAAGGTCCCCCTGGTGGTGCAGCAGGTAAAACCGTTGAGCTGCTGAACTTGTTGACCGAAAGGTTGCCGGTTCGAATCCGGGTGAACTGTTAGGCCCAGCTTCTGTCAACCTAGCAGTTCGAAAACATGCAAGTAGATCGATAGATACCGCTTCTGCAGGAGTAATGGTGCTCTATGCAGTCATACTGGGCATATGACTTTGGAGGTGTCTACAGACAATGCCGGCTTTTCGGCTTAGAAATGAGACAAGCACCACTCCCAAGAGTCGTACACGACTAGACTTAATGTCAGGGGAAACCTTTACTTAACTTAAAAGTAACCTATGAAATGCAGCCTACTATCTTAGATACAGCTTTTCTATACACTGAACCATAGCATCAGCAGCGTATTTATTTCCTGCCCTCTATCATAGGATATTAGAACAATGCACAAGCAAAATCAGTTTAAATATCACAGACAAATTTAAAATTTGAACAATAAAATATACCGTATTTCCTCGATTCTAATGCTCACCTTTTAAAACTAAATTACCTCCCCAAAATTAGGGCGCGTAATAGAGTTGAGTAATATGGTAAATACTTTTTGGGGTTTTTTAGAGTTTTGAAAACTGAAGTGTGCATTAGATTTGATGGCACATTAGACTCGAGTAAATGTAATTTAAACAAAGTAAAACATAATGAATTATTAAACAAGTGAAAATGAATAATGGTTTAAAACGATTTAAAGCAGCATACATGTACATCTTAGAAGATTTGGTCCCAAAAATTATATTAAAAGAGCATGCTTTAATTTAGCACCAGGTATCTGAGATGGCTGTGAATAGAGCGATAATTTCCTGGACATCATGGCAGCAGCACATTATCTAATCATCATAATCATAAGGCACATTACATTCTAAACACATTTTTCTCCCCAAGGAGATGATCTTCAATTCTGAATCTGCTCTAAGTAGGAAAACATTTAAAACTTCTCAGCCCTAGAAGAACAAAAAGGGAGAGAACGACTTACCTAAAAATATTGTGACTATCTTTCTTCCTGTTCTAGTGCTATCATTTTCAAGCTTACGGAACAGTGAATTGCTGGGATATCTATCTCTATGGCTTAAAAAAGGATTTGGAAGCACATTTACATTTTAATTGTTACTAGAACAAGAATAATGAATCCAACCGATATCAGACTTGTAGTATGATGGCAAATCGAACACTGTGGCCAAACAGTGTGATTTTTGTGCTGAGTTGTGATTTTTGTGCTGAGTTGTCTTCTTGCAACACGGCAAACAAATCACTGGAAAATCTTTTATGGGATACTAATGGATTGACCTTAAAATCTATTTTTCTTGAAAGCAAAAGCAGAGTACACAAGAAGGGATAGTTCAGGCTCTGATTAGGTACAGAAAGTGAAGGAAATATTTATCTAGTTTTAGCTTCATATGTTGCCATGGGTAAAGCAAAGCACAATCCTCAAACAGACCAATGCAGGGAGGAAAACATACTGTACAAAATCTGATACTAGTGCCAAATACAGCAGCTGACCAGCGGAAAGCCGATATAGACACAGCTTTCCCAGCAGAGGCTAGGAGAGAGAAATTTTGTTTGTAGCCACAATACCATCCTAGAGTTGAAGCAAAGCTTATATAGTGCATTCCATGAGTTCAGTAGCTCATAGAACATGGAAAGTTTTGACAACTGAGTATTTTTATGACGAATGTTCCCAGACCTTATGCTAACCGGGTTTTTCCCTCTGCTAAAAAAAAGAGAGCATACTCTACTTGTAGATAATTTTACCTTAATTACTTTATAAAGTAGCTCAAACACTATTTTATAGGATAAGTTATTTTGAGACATAAGAAGGATTGCTTTTTTTTAAACACTTTGCAATATCTAGTACTTGAACTATGGGGTCCCGTCACTATATGGTACAGTTGAAATATTAATGATTAAAAACTGAATGGATTGACTATATGTTGCGCTTCTGGGTAACAGGCTTTTGGAGTCTAAGGGATAGTTACCTTTAATTGGATGTATAGACTCAAGAAGACTGCAGCAGATGAACTGCAATTAATTACTGTATTTCAAATGCATAGGAGCAGCATTGTTTGTAGTCATGGGCCCGGTTACCATCTCATCTGTTTAATTCATGTTCTCGTACCATTTTGTTCATTTGGAATGCACGAAATGGTACACCTCCCTCTGGCACTGAAATATCAGTGAAACAAAAGGAAAGTGGGAATGGTAACCATTTGATTGGCTGATTTTCGGCACTCAGTACGCTTGGCTGTAGGCCCTGCAGGGCCAACAGTTGAGTGTCTCTTATTTGGCTTGGTGCTCAGCGAGCTCGGATGTAGGCCCTGGCATGGCCTACAGCCAAGTGCAAACTCCTCTTCTTCTGTGCTCGCATGTAGGCCCTGGGAGGTACCACCAATGAGCCGAATATGTTCTGGTTTTTTTTGGACAAAAAAAGCTCATTTGGAAAGGTGCCTGCTTTTGGGAGAGGTGCTCGAAAACTAAAATGGGGCCTTATGAATGAAACAAACCGGAACGGATAGTGATTCTGTACAAATGCACAAGATGAATGATTTGCTACCATCTATTTTACAAATATACAAGATGGTGGAGTATGCTTTCTTCTACGAATCGTAAAAATTCAAAAATCGGATGGAATATCAGAAATTATGAAGACGGAATCTGAGTAAATTAAACCACACTGCAACAGCTTATTTTACACATTCATATACATTCACATTTTGTTCACATTTAACAATAATTTGCAGGCATAATGGTAAGAAAATTATTTATGTTTTAAATTCAGTGCCAACACTATTCTCTTTGCAATGCTAGGTTTTGCAAAATTCTCTTCACAGACGATTTTGAAGTCCTATTTGTTATTTTGGGTACTCATTATAAGACTATGCAATGCCCTCCTACAGTTTCTGTCAGTAATCCAAAATTGTATAATTCAGAGCAAGGCACCCTCATATCCAGGATTTCCTGCAACAGGAATCCAGTTTACCATGTAAGTACGCAGAATTGTTGGCTTTTCACTGGAAGAAATATGTGTTGGTGTTGTTGTGTATCCTCAATTTATTTCTGGCATATTGTGACCCTAAGGAAGGTTTCTCTTTTGGGGGGAGGCAGGGAAGAGTGGAGCAAGATTTGTTCAGAGGGGTCTTGCCTTTGTCTCCTCCTGAGGCTGAAAGTGTGACTTGCCCAGAGTCAGGAGTGAGGCTTCATGGCTGAACAGGAGTCAAGCTCCGCTCCCCAGAGTAATATTTAAATACTCAAACTACTATACCACAGTGACTCTAACAAGAATATCTACAGAGAGATTGATGATATTAAACAGGATATCATACCCAAATGCATCCGTATATTTTATGTGATGACCAGGATCAGATGACTTGGGCGTCCAATATATTTGAAACATTAGTTCCTCACTCTGATCCACTTGTCTTTCAATTCAGATTGAATTTCCAGTGGCTGTATGAATGCATTGCCAGCCTGTGACTACTATGTCATTTTTAATATGTCTTTATTTTGTCGGATCTACAGTATTTTATGCACATGAGAGTAACAGAATGTAAACAGAAAATGACTTCTCCTCATTCTCTTCTTTTGGGTCTAAAGTGAACCAGAGGGACCTAGAGACAGGGTGAAAATACTCCTATGCCCCATGTTTTGATTTTTTGGGTCAGGAGAAAGGGGGAGGGGGCTTCAAAGTCTTCAGGGACCTCCCAGAATTGCCAGTCCCCAGTCTGAAGTAAGCCTTTTTGGAACATATTGAACATACCCTTCATTCTTGAGAGCAGGCAGTTCCTTTTTCAGAGACTCTTTATCTTCTGTATTCAGGATCGCAAATCCTAAGAGCTGAGGTGCACTAAAGGTAGCAAGAAAACCCAGGTCTCCTCGGCGGCTGATGAAACAGGCAGTATGGTACCAGTTGTCTATCATCCCCAACTGAGGCTTCTCAGGGTGTACCATTTTCTTTGAAATTCTAATATGACCCTATGAAAGGTGGAAAAAGAAATTGACACACCATGCAATTTGTCTGTGTTACCATTTCAATAGAAGTTTCTATATGCAGATAGAGTTTTGGTTTCAACGCAGCAGTCTGCTGTGATAAAATTATTGGATTCCAATGTTTCTGTCCTGGCACTCCAGCAATGCTGTTTTACATTCTTATACATTTCAACTTTTAACCTGAAAAAATGTGTCTCTTCCCACAATAATAATAATAATAATAATAATAATAATAATAATAATAATACTTTATTTATACCCTGCCTCCATCTCTCAAGCGACTCGGGACGGCTTACAAAATAGCACATAAAGATGCCATACATAAAATACATAATACATAAAATAAAATACATTGACATGAAAACAACAATATATTACCTAAACCAGGTATATAAATTGGATAAAGCAACCTCCGCTACTAGTTGCTTAGGAACCTCCAGTCTTAAGAGAAATGACAGTTCAAGCGCGCGGTTAAAGGGTTACTAATTCAATATACAACAAAAGTAATTTTCTGAAATCTTAATGTGCAAGCTTTACAATATCATAAATACATATGCTATAAAATCAAGCAACACAAATATGTATCCTGAATGAGAACGTAAAAATATTTTAGAGAAAAAATACGGGATTCTGAGGAATGTGGATTTTGATTTAATTTAACGTGAGTTAGGAACTCTAGCACACACAACAGATTTTCATACCACCCTAAGTACTGTGTCACATGTTTCCTCTACCCTGCATTAAATTTTTAAAAAGCTCCTTCCACATCTCAACATACAGAAAAAAAATATTTATCAGGGAGTATGGTATGCCAAAGGTTATCATTTCTTACAGCAGGGATAGGCAAGATCCCGAGGAGACCTTAGAGGGTTGCTGTAAAATCAGTCCCCACAAATGTCCTCTGGGGGCACAGACAATTTTTAATATCGTCCTGGGCCAACGGAAGTGACTAGGAAGTCAAAAAATTGGATCACAGGTTCCACTTTGCACATCCTTGTCCAACATCCTGAGGTACTACAGTCTTTCTCCCATTTAGTTACATTGGTTGTAAGAAGGTGTAACTGTTACTCTCCTACACAAGCAAAAAGTAAAATAAGCTCTAGGCCACATTTCATTTCATAATATTTGATTATAGAGCATGGGTCCACATTCTAGTTTGAGGCTCTATTTTAGCCTCAAGTTAAATATGAAGCCAAAGAAAAGCATCACACCTAGAAGACCCTTGTCCAACACTATGTTCAAAGTCAACGGGACAGAATGACATGAAGAGGGGAATCCTGGGGAGTCCTAGCACTCCCTGCTCATTAAGTAACTTTACAAATACAGGACATTTTTAGGTGTAAAGGCAATTGTATTCAAAGTCCTGTATGATGGGCATGATAACTGCACACATACAAAGAAATGGCATCTATCTACCTTTTCTATCTTCTGTTCACAGCCTTTGCAGGTACTTCTGTTGGACTTTGCATATTCTACCGCAAAATCATTTAAATTCTTTTCGGTTTTGCCTGCTTTCCCTAGGGGGGAAAAGAAGGAGAAATTACTTATGAGTTCTAATTCAATTGCATGGTATCAACCAAAGTACAGTCAGATGGTTATATGGCACTGAAAAATGATATTATTACTGTGGTACCCGTAGCTCAGCTGTGAGATGATAGAATCAATTATAATGACAGCTTAAGTGCTTAACTCAAATATCATGAAATTTCCTGGCCTTCTCACCTCAATCTGCTGAAATGTTATCAAACCTTAGATCCCTATTCAATGTTCAGGTCTGAATAAAAGAGATGCCTGGCAAAAGCAAATGAGTTCTTTTCCACTTAGAATACGCAAATATAAAATAGATCCCAGGTGATTGAAGCAACAATCATTCTTCCTTTAATTAATAGGCTCAAAATGTACAGAAAAGGACCAAGAATATGGTCAAAAGGCTAGAACAACTCTTCTCAGAAGAAAGATAAAAGATTTGGAGCTCTTTAGATTCAAAGGAAGAGTTATAGGAGGAGGTGAAATGGAATCTGAAAGCTCAAAAGGAAGAGCACCCCTGCCTGCTGTGTCTTGCCCTTCTTCTTGTCCTTGTTCTCCACAAGGACAGATTGCAGATTTCCCAAAAAGTTCAGTCCCCAAGAAGGTATGTATGTCAAGTTTTGCTTGGCAGGCATGGGCAAATTTCAGCCTTCCGGGTGTTTTGGGTGTTCCTAACATCAAATTGTAGGAGTGAAAGTCCAAAACACCTGGAGGGCTGAAGTTTGTCCATGCATGGCTTAGAACATGGGCCCACATTCCAATTCAGAGCTGGTTTCTGACTGCCATCAATGTTGCCTGAGCCCTAGATGCTGAGTTGGACTGTGTCAAATGTGCCATCTGTTCAGAAGGCGGCTGGCTGCCTTGATTGGTTTATGCAGCCCCTGCCTAATCTTGCTCTCACCCAGGAGATCTCCTTCAAGGAGACCTTGGCCATAATGGAGCCAGAGGCAGCTGCTCTGACGACTAGTGAAAGGGCCTTGTGTACCTTCCTGTGAGCTACTTCTGCCATCTTGTCCTTAGAAACCTCTAGCATATCTTCTCCATCTTTAAAAAATACAATTCCCCACTCCTGTGGAGAAGGTCTATCAAGGTCCTGAGAAGGCAAAGACCCAGGGATGTAACCAACTTCCTCTAGAGTGCTGGAAAATCCTTGTCTTGAATAACCTGAAAGATGTTGAGTTGGAAGCATCCCTTTCCCTTTTGTCTGCTGAGAGCTCCTTTTCCTCCATCTTCGAGGAGGGAGTGTTGGAGGTTTTGCTTTCATATTCTTCCCCCAAATCTTTCCTAGAAGCAGTGTGATGCTGGTTTTTTAATGTGGGAACTTCTGTGTGAACTGGATAGCCCCAACTTTGGAAACTGACTTCTCTTTCTCATCCTCTGCTTGGGACTTGTAATCCTCTCAGCCAAAATTGCACCCAACTGCACCAGAAAGGGAGGTCATCTTTGAAAGAGGACTTCCCTCTTGTTCTTGGGAGTTCTTACCATGTTTCTCCTTCATGCTCCCAGGGAAGAAACAGAAAGAAGAAAGAAAAATGGAGGAGGTGGCGTAGAGAAGAAAACTAAAGGAAGAAGAGCTAGGTATAGGCAAAGAGAAAGCAGATCAGTAAGAAGAAGTTAAGGGGGTCAGATTAAGAGCTTAGAAGGTAAGGAGAGCAGACTGAAGAGAAAAAAAAGCCTGAAGTTAGGATTAGAGTAGTGAGAGCAACAACAAGCATATCTTACTGGAGTGGTAAGCTTGAAAAAGACTGACCTTCAAGAGTTTGCCCCACAAAGGAGCCACTGGAAGGTTCTTCTTTTTTTTCCTGCCTTTCTGAAGCAAGCATAAGCAAATCCCAAACTACAGTATGTTCAGTCCCTTATGTACTAGGAAAAGGTATGGGGTATCATTATCCACAGAATGGAGAATTTGGGTTAGGAGACTTGGCCCCATACTAGGATATGGCGTCACCCACTGATGTTGAATAATAGGAGATTCCAAACCAACAGAAGGGCTGGATTGCTGTGAGTTTTCTCAGCTCTGTGGCCATGTTCCAGAAGCATTCTCTCCTGATATTTTGCTGACATCTATGGCAGGCAGCCTCAGAGGTTGATGGGTCTGTTGGAAACATTCACACTTGCCTCAAGCAGACAAGAGTTCTTTCTCCCACCCTGGACATTCCACAGATATAGAAACGTCACTTGCCTAGTTCCCAACAGATCTTTCCAACAGACCCTGAGTCCCCTTATGGGGAGAAGGGCGGGATAGAAATGTATGTAAAAAATATGTAAAAATAAATACATTCTCTGAGGATGCCTGCCATAGATGTGGGCCAAATTTCAGGACAGAATGCTTCTGAAACATGGCCATACAGCCTGGAAAACTCACAGCAACCCAATGATTCTGGCCATGAAAGCCTCCGACAACACAGACAGAAGGGCTTTTTCATATAGCTCATAGTTAAACTGTGGAATTTGCTGGACCAGCAGTAGTGATAGTAACTACCAGTAGTGGATTTTGAAGACAAATTTTTGAAAAGCAAAGCTATAAGTGACAAGAAGTCAGGATGCACTTCCAGTGTTATTTCCAGTGCTGCAGGAAACATGCATCTCAAAACTTTTAATACATTTCCCAACCATGTTGAAAAGTACAACCAGGAAAGCACTACTATCCTCAAGTTTCTTACTGTAGGAACAGTACACCGAAATAGACTTTAGTTGTATACAGCACAATTTTTCCAATGTTCTAGGTTTGCACAGCAAAGGTTGCCTTACCTGTTCCAGCACCACCGGTTTCAATAGATTTTTTAATCTTCTCCTGATCCTCCCAACGCAGTTCTGAGAAGCCATCCACCTCAGCATGGGATATCAGTCGAGCACGTTTCCAGAAGCAAGTAAAGTGATGCCAGTGGGGTACTTTGCCATCAAACATGGGAGACTAAAAGGAAAGAAAGGGGAGAAAGAACGAGTAAGAAATTCAAGTATCTCACCATCGAAATCTCGTCTTCCCAAGGAGAAAATAAGGTGATTATGGCCCACTGTAGCATGCATTTGTGAACGTTGCAGCCTCGTGTTCACAGATTAACAAAAAATATTGCTGAGGGTATTTTATTCTTATCTCAGTCACATCCACACAAAGATGTACTTCATTTTAAGCCTGATTTCTTTCCCACCTTCACTCGCAGCTCGCTTCACTAATACAGATAAGCCACTTTATGTTATAAAGATTCTTTCCCTGACGGCTGATGGCTTAGTTAAACATCTGGATCTTGTTTAAACAGGACTAGCTATGTTCCTCTCTAATGTCAATTTGACAACATAAAAAGAGCACAACAGGCCCTCAGTATCCACTGGGGTTTGCTCCAGAACTTCCATAAATACTAAAATCTGTGGATTCTGAAGTCCTACTATAAGCACTGGTACAGTAAGTCGATATTCCTTTTATCAGTGGTTCCCAACCTGTGGTCCATGGACCACCAGTGGTCCCAAGGAACTAAAATATGGCCCGTGGCCTCACCGTTCCTACACCATTGTAACGGGAGCAACTGCTGAGGCAATGGGAATGTTGGGAGGGGAGAAGCTGACTACCCACGAAAGGAGTGAGAACAAGCCCCTTGACTGCTGCATCTCCTCCTCCTCCTCCTCCCTCCCCCTGAGCGTAGCCATTCCATGTGGTGCCTGGAAGGGCGGGGGCGCCTTGGTGTCTTCATTTTTAAGCCTGTTCCTGGGGTTATTTGGGGTGCTGATCCAGAAAATTGCATTTGGATAGACCACATCAGCTCCACATTATTAAATATGGTTTTCTGTGGGCAAGCAGATGGTGACTACTGGATGGCATATGTTCTGTATCGGAAACTAGAGCTGATGTGGTCTATCCAATGCAATTTTCTGAATCAGTACCCCAAATAACCAAACCGAATCTAAAGTTGACCAAAGACTAGTTCGTAACCCTTTTGATACTAATGTTGGAGAGTATCAAAAAAAGATTGGGAACCACTGCCTTATATAAAATATGTCTAAGAGACCTTATGATCTGTGAAATGGTGGAAAGCCATAGCAGGATATGTCTATACTTGACATGTGGCAAAATCTCTGTTTTTGGATCTCTTCCCCCTCCCCCAATATTTTAAAGTCGTGGTTTTCTGAATCTATGGGTGTAGAACTGTGAGTATGAAAGTCCAAAGAGTTCTTCATCACAGAATTAGTGCAGTCTGATACCATTTTAACCGTTATGGTTCAAGACTATGGAATCTTGGGATATGGAGTTTGGTGAGGCACCATCACTATTCAACAGAGAAAGACAGTGTTTGTTTATTTATTGCACTGATATCCCGCCCTTCTCAACCCCAAAGGGGACGCAGTGTGGCCTTACAAAGGCAGCAACTTAATGCCGTGGGTCCACATATCGATAAATAAACAACACTTTAAAACAGTAAAAACCAACCAATTCAAAACATCACATTAAACAACAATTTAAAATCACATAACCCTATCCTCATCCAGGGCCAATCAGAGTAGTCAATGTTCATTCATAGTATCTTATTGCACTGCTCCTTTTACTGACTATAGGCCTGATCCCAAAGCCATATTTTCACTTTCCTTCTGAAGGCCAGGAGGGAGGGGGGCTGATCTAATGTCACTGGGGAGGGAGTTCCACAGCTGAGGGACCACCACTGAGAAGGTCCTGTCTCTTGTCCCCACCAGTCGCACCTGTGAAGAAGGCGGGATGGAGAGCAGGGCCTTCCCAGACAATCTTAATTTCCGAGGTGGTTCGTAGAGGGAGATACATTCAGACAGGTAAGCTGGGCCAGAACCATTTAAGGCTTTATAGGCTAAATGCAGCACTTTGAATTGTGCTTGGTAGCCGACTGAAAACCAGCAGAGCTGATGCAACAGGAGGGATGTCCTCTCTCTGTACACCGCTCCAGTGAGCAACCTGACTGCTGCCCGTTGGACCAACTGAAGCTTCCGAACAGTCTTCAAAGGCAACCCCAAGTAAAACTACTAAAATTAACTATAATTCTCATGATTCCATAGTATTGAGCCATGACAGTAAAAGTGATGTGGATGTCATTAATTCTAAAGTAGATGCATCCTAGGAGTAAAACCTGTATGTGAAAAAGAATATTCTTCTTACTCACATGGAAAATTCCTCAAGATGGTGCTTTCCTACTCTTTGGATATGCTACTTTCACAAGAGCAAAGTGGCAATAAAGGAGAAAGGCCAGCATGCTCCCATTTTCACACTCAACAGGGCCGCCCACACTCAGGCATGAGTTCTGCAACATGAGTAATATCAGCTGGGACTTTTCTGTTTAGATAAGAAGCTAAATGAGAAACAGGGAGCAGATGCCTACAATCCCTGACACTAAAGAAGGCATATGCTGCAGCTTCTCATCCCTGTGGAATTACACCCTGAGCTTTCAGGTTAAGATGACAAGACTTTCAAGAAAGCTCTAGCTCCTCATCTCTTAAAAGCAGGGTTTCAGGGCCTGAACTGGCTAATTTGACAGCCAAGATCTTCTCAGCTATAGACATTTTACAAACCAATGGAAACTGACAAAGCAAAGTGTAAAATAGAAGTGACTCAGGCCTGTTAAACATCAAAGTAGTAGCTTAAAAATAGATCATCCTGCCAACACACAGTTTTGATAACAAAGGAATAAACCGAAATGATTAATGCTTAGCGAGTCAAATAATGGAGCAAAGAAGCACCCAAAAAACAGGTAAAGTGAACTTTCTGCAAAAAAAAAAAAGTCACATTAAGCGCTGTCTTTCCTCAGCTAGAGGAACTTCCATACAGCATTCAACCATGTTCTTCTGCCAGCAAAAGAAAACCTGTTGGCAGGTCAAGTTTCCTCTTACATGTTCCCTAAACGTGTCCCAGAGATTTGGGGATTCTTCAGAGCAGAATAAGAGAATATGGGAAGAGGACATCATTGCTTGAGGACAGCTATTATTGCATAAGTGGATCTACTGATACAAGACTGAATTTAGCTGGAAGTCTCTAAGTCTCAGTTGCCCGATATAGCCTAAAACACCAGATCCTGTCTGAACTTGGAAGCTGCTTTTGGTTGGGGATCCCCAAGAGGTACCAGAAGGACAACCATTTCTGAGTATTCCTTGTCAAGGAAAATCCTTTGAAGTTCATGGTGTCAACATAGGTAACAGGCAATACACAAGCTTCAAAATTGCTTATTTCAATCACAACAAATTTCAGTTTGTTTTCTTGCCTACTACAAGCATGCACCTACTCACTAGGCCTGCAAGGTGTTCTTTATTTAAAGGGTTGTCCCTTATATGAGAGCCAAAAACCATGCTCTTTATACGTATCATATATAAGGAGAACCGCCTATTGGGTGTTGAGCCCTTCATAAAAGCAGAAATGCGTGCAACATGCGATTTATGAACGAAGTAATTTAAAAAAGAAACATACGATCTTTTAGTAGAAAATAGTGTTGCTAATTCAAGCAGTCCCCAAGTTACAAACATCTGACTTACAAATGACTTATAGTTAAGAATGGGACTGAGACAACCGGAAATGAGAGAAATCTATCCCTCGGAAGGGAAATTCACTCCTGAAAGAGTTACCATGGGGAAAAGAAGTCTCCACCACTTAAGCTTTCTTTCAAATTGTTTCCACAACAAGCCAATATTTCAGACTCCAATTCTCACAGGGACTGAAAGTGAGGTGAAATCCTCTGAACAGGGGCACAGACAGCAAAACATCCATATACAACCCGCAGGATGTTAAACCACCCCTATGCTATCCAAAGCTAATACTTTTGGCAAGATTTACACTTAAGAAATGTATATGATCCAACTTACAAACAAATTCAACTGAAGCACAAACCTAAACAACCTATCCTGTCAGTAACTTGAAGACTGCCTGTAGTTAGTTTCTCATTGTCATATCTGAATCTTATGAACTCTAGTGGCCTCTTAATGCTATTTCGAAAACCTGGTAATGTGACTTCCCACACATTATCACTCAGAGAATGTAGTGATGGACTGGATAAACCCTCACCTTAGGCCTAACCGATATTGGCATTGTTTCAATAACCTCACACCTTCAACGGTTACCAGGAATGGTTCTGAATTATAAAAGTACTTAAAAAACTAAAGTTCTGGTGGTGAAAACTAGGGGGCTCTGGTGCTTTGCTTCTACAGTGTTGCTAAAGTTCTGATGGTGAAAATTTCAGAACTCAAACAAAACTTTCAAAACGTTATTATAAATGACAGTTCCTAATTGGTTGACATAAAAATTGCCAATAATTAAATAACGAAATTTTGAAAGTTTTGTTAGAGTTCTGAAATTTTTGCCACCAGAACTTTAGCAACACTGTAGAAGCAAAGAGGGGTTTTTTTTAAAAAAAAAATTAATTGGGCTACTGTCTTAATGTTTCTGGAGACTAGATTACAGGGAAGCCTTTCTCCCAATAACAAAATACAGCAACAATGTTTAGCACTCCTGACTCCCTGGACATCAAGATTGCAAGAACTTCCATGCAAAAATATAGCAAGAAAGTAAGGATGATGCAAGTCCTTGTATTTGCTAAGCGCTTTGAATCCATTATAACTGCTACATCCAAGATAAGGAAAAACAGCATAATTCTGGAGGGATCTATAGGCAACCCTGTTCAAACAAGTATCTCCTACAGAATTCAAAACAATTTGCTCCTCTTTAAGTCTACTACACAGACAGACTCTGCAAATAATTTAAGTATAGCTTGAGCATTCTTTATCAAGAATTCCAAAATGTCCCAAAATTATCTACATGTGTGTTTGAGATCATGAAACATTGGCTTTCTGGACTCTCTGCTCCAGAGTGTGGTGGAGGCTCCTTCTTTGGAGGTTTTTAAACAAAGACTGGATGGCCATCTGTCGGGGGTGTTTGGAATGTGATTTTCCTGCTTCTTGGCAGGGAGTTGGACTGGATAGCCCACAAAGTCTCTTCCAACTCTATGATTCTATGAACATGCCTGAAAACACTATACAGCTCAGCCGTAAACATTTTAACAGGTAGGTGAGCGCACACCATGTGGCAAAGCAGGACTATGGTTGTATCTACACCATTGAATTAATGCAGTTTAATACCACTTTAACTGTTCTGGCTCAATGCTATGGAATCCTGGGAGTTATTGTTTATTTATTTATTTATTGCATTGCTATACATCCTGATGGGGGACTCAGAGCAGTGTACAGTGTGGGCACATACAACATGTACAATGCCGATATATTAGTGTTACTATATTACAATATTATTCTCTGTACTGATCCAAACTATCAAAATGTATCAAACCACATTGATACAGTGCTTGGAACATGGCATTCTATAGCCAAAGAATGCATCTTTTCAGCAGGGCTTTTATATTATTATAACTATTTAAAACAGTTCAAAAACAAGCTCCAGTTTTGCATTGTTTTTCATGTTGTTTGGATGTTTTGAGTCTCTTTTTTCCAGAGAGATAAAGTGAAACACAGATAAATCTATATAAATAAAAATGTAATGTTCGTTTGTGGGATTAACATAACTCAAAAACCACTGGACGAATTGACACCAAATTTGGCCAGCATACACCTAACAATCCAATGTATGTCTTTCACTAAAAACAATTTGATTTTGTCATTCGGGAGTTGTAGTTGCTGGGATTTATAGTTCACCTACAATCAAAGAGCATTCTGAACTCCACCAATGATGGAATTGAACCAAACGTGGCATACAGAAAACACTAGAAGGGTTTGGTGGGCATTGACCTTGAGTTTGGGAGTTGTAGTTCACCTACATCCAGAGAGCACTGTGGACTCAAACAATGATAGAACTGGACCAAACTTGGCACGGATATTCCATACGCCCAAATATGAACACAGATGGAGTTTGGGGAAAATAGACCTTGACATTTGGGAGTTGTAGTTACTGGGATTTATAGTTCACCTACAATCAAAGAGCATTCTGAACCCTACGAACAACAGAATTGGGCCAAACTTCCCACACAGAACCCCCATGACCAACAGAAAATACTTAAAGCCACCCACTCCAACTCCCTTCATCAGGGCAAGAAAACGTAATCAAAGCCCTCCTGACAAAGAGCCATCTAGTCACAGATATAGATATACATGACTAGCCATCCCCTGCCATGCGTTGCTGTGGCCCAATCTGTGTATCTGTGTTTTGTGTGTGTATATATGTGTGTTTAGGTGTATATTTATACTTGTGTATATGCATATATGTGTGTGTGTTTGCGTGTGTATGCATGCATTGCAATGATTTTTTTTTGCTTTTAAAGTCTCTTTTGCTGTGTTTTTATGAGTGATGGCCACTCATAAATTTGGTGTCAATTCGTCCAGTGTTTTTTGAGTTATGTTAATCCCACAAACGAACATTACATTTTTATTTATATAGATTCACACACACACAGAGAGATATAGTATCATAGATCTGAAAGGGACCTCTAAAGAAGGACAATGATATGTTGCATGTTCCAGAGTAGGCAAACCAGACACTCTCCACATCAACACTGACAAAAAAAAAAATCTAATAAGAAATACTGTTTACACACAAGCATAAAGAAATTACATATATTAGAAACAAACACTTTCTCATTACTTTATTTTCCAGATCACCAGACTGGGCCACAGCAATGCGTGGCAGGGGGCGGCTAGTATTATAATTATTTCTTTAAAAACGCTTCAGAAACAAGCTCCAATTTTGCATTTTTCGTGTTGTGAGGATCTTTTGAGTCTCTTTTTTTCCAGAGAGATAGATAAGTGAAACATAGATAAATACAATGATATAATAGATAGGAGTGAAACATAGATAAATACAATGATACTGATTCCCAGATGGATATCTTATCTACCCACTCCCTCCCTGCAGTGAAGAGCAGCAAAACCTTCCCAGAGGCGACATAATAAATAGAAAGAGGGGGCGTGTTCCGTGCATGAGTGATGCCCCAATTTATGCTCATGTGCAAGAGCTGCAGGATACATAGGAGTCTGCACTGGCCACAGGCTGCCCTGCGAATGGGGCCTGAGGCTGCGAGGCAACGTGGCGCTGCTCCCGGCTGCGAGAAGGAACAAGAAAGGCTGACCTGCACCATGATGGCCAGGCGGAGCGAGTCCTTGGCGATGTTGTCGCCGCATTTCTTGCACGAAGCCCGGCCGCTCTTGGCGTACTCGGCGCGGTACTGCTTCTCCACTGGCTCCGCCATGGCTGTGCTAGGAAGGAAAGGATGCGAGCAGCAAAAGCAATGGGGGCAGCACGCGGCGCATTGGAGGCGCTTGCCAGGCTCTCGCAGTTCGATGTCGAGCGCAGAGAGATCGAACCCTGCTTGGCTCTGCTCCCAATCCGTTTCGGCGATCGATTAGGCATGCCGCGTAGGAGGGAGGCTTTTAGAACGTTGCCCGGGAATCAGCTCTGCCGATTCCCGGGCAACGTTCTAAAAGCCTCCCTCCTACGCGGCATGCCTAATCGATCGCCGAAAGGGTCCTGCAAGGAAGCACGTTCTGGGAGTTGTAGTTTTCCATGTCCTGCTCAAAGGATCGTCCAGTACAATGACTAGGATTTCATTCCATCTCCACTGGCTCAATGTCATCCGATTTTGGGAGTTGTAGTTTTACAACTCACAAATCATAATAAATTGTGGCAAGTTCTGGGTGGGATGGGCATACCAAGCCACCTTGTCTCTCTCCTGAGGAATCTGTATAAGGACCAAGTAGCAACAGTCAGAATAGACCATGGAACAACAGACTGGTTCAGGATTGGGAAAGGCGTGCGGCAGGGTTGTATACACTCACCCAACCTATTCAACTTGCATGCGGTGTGCGGGGCATGACGAATGCAAGGCTGGGGTGAAAATTGCTGGAAGAAACATTAACATTAGGTATGCAGATGATACCGCTGTGATGGCCGAAAGCGAGGAGGAGCTAAGGAGCCTTATGTTGTTGTTCATTCGTTCAGTTGTTTCCGACTCTTCGTGATCTCATGGTCCAGTCCACACCAGAGCTCCCTGTCGGCCGTCACCACCCCCAGCTCCTTCAAGGTCAATCCAGTCACTTCAAGGATACCATCCATCCACCTTGCCCTTGGTTGGCCCCTCTTCCTTTTTCCTTCCATTTTCCCCAGCGTCATTGTCTTCTCTAAGCTTTCTCACTTCTCACTTCTCTCACTTCTGCAGGAGTCTACCGTATACCATGCAGCTGTGGACAAGTCTACATAGGGACCACCAAACAGCGCCCAAACACGAATCAAGGAACATGAAAGGCACTGCAGACTACTTCAACCAGAGAATTCAGCCATAGCAGAGAAACTGATGAACCAACCTGGACACAGCATATTATTTGAGAACACAGAAATGCTGGACCACTCTAACAACTATCATGTCAGACTACACAGAGAAGCCATTGAAATCCACAAGCATGTGGACAATTTCAACAGAAAGGGGGGAAAAAGAAAATGAACAAAATCCCACGCCAAAGTTCCCTGTCGGCCGTCACCACCCCCAGCTACTTCAGAGTCAAGCCAAGCACTTCAAGGATAGCATCCATCCATTTTGCCCTTGGTCGGCCCTCTTCATTTTCCCCAGCATAATTGTCTTCTCTAAGCTTTCCTTTCTTCTCATGATGTGGCCAAAGTACTTCATCTTGGCCTCTAATATCCTTCCCTCCAATGAGCAGTCGGACTTTGTTTCCTGAAGTATGGACTGGTTGGATCTTCTCGTGGTCCAAGGCACTCTCAGAACTTTCCTCCAACACCACAGTTCAAAAGCATCAATCTTCCTTCACTCAGTCTTCCCTATGGTCCAGCTCTCACATCCGTAGGTGACTATGGGGAATACCATTGCTTTGACTGTGTGAATCTTCTTTGCCAGTGTGATGTCTCTACTCTTCACTATTTTATCAAGATTGGACATTGCTCTCCTCCCAAGAAATAAGCATCTCCTGATTGCACGTAGAAATACAACGTCTGTCACTGCCTTCACGTTGGGTTGCAGCTAAATATATATATAAAAAAACAAGATTATGGCAACTGAACTGATTGACAACTGGGAAATAGAGGGAGAAAACATGGAGGCAGTGACAGACTTTGTATTTCTAGGTGCAAAGATTACTGCAGACTTCATTTTCTTTCCCCCCCCTTTCTGTTGAAATTGTCCACATGCTTGTGGATTTCAATGGCTTCTCTGTGTAGTCTGACATGATAGTTGTTAGAGTGGTCCAGCATTTCTGTGTTCTCAAATAATATGCTGTGTCCAGGCTGGTTCATCAGGTGCTCTGCTATGGCTGACTTCTCTGGTTGAAGTAGTCTGCAGTGCCTTTCATGTTCCTTGATTCGTGTTTGGGCACTGCGTTTGGTGGTCCCTATGTAGACTTGTCCACAGCTGCATGGTATACGGTAGACTCCTGCAGAAGTGAGAGGATCCCTCTTGTCCTTTGCTTAACGCAGCATGTGTTAGATCTTCTTAGTGGGTCTGTAGATTATTTGTATGTTGTGTTTCCTCCTCAGCTTCCCTATGCGGTCATTGGTTCCCTTGATGTATGGCAAGAACACTTTTCCTCTGGGTGGATCTTTGTCTTTACTCTTGTGGCTTGTTCTTGGTTTTTCAGCTCTTCTGATGTCTGTGGTGGAGTATCCATTGGCCTGTAGAGCTCAATTTAGGTGGTTCAGTTCCCCTTGGAGGAATGTCCAGTGGGAGAAAGAACTTTGAAGCTGCAAGACTATTCAATGCTAATCAAGCTGGCCAATTGCAACATTCACATTTGCCTCAAACAGACATTCCACAGATATATAAACCTCACTTGCCTAGCTTCAAACAGACCTTATACCCTCTGAGGATACCTGCCACAGATGTGGGCGAAATGTCAGGAGAGAATGCTTCTGGAACATGGCCATATAGCCTGGAAAACTCACAGCAACCCATTATTATTGTTGTTGTTGTTGTTGTTATTATTATTATTATTATTATTATTGTACAGTGGAAATGCACCCCAGCAAACCTAATAAAATTATATCTTACAAAATTTACTGTGAGTAATTAACTGTGAGTAATTGAATGAATTCCATGAATTCAGAATCTATGGAATGTGAAAATCGTCTGTAAATCAGTTTGAATACCATCTCGATTAAAAAAAATATCGAAGCACTTCAAAATGCAAGGAATTTGCTTTTGAGGATCCGGATCCAAGGGCTGCAGAGTGAAAATTCCTTTCTGATGAATGTGTCTTTTGGAGTTAAATGTACCCTTAATCAGTAAACTCATATAGTGCAGTTTCGCTGTACTGACCTGCATTACATAAATCTACACTGCATTATATGGCAGTGTAGATGGAGCCACAATGGTACTGACTTCTGAGACAACATGTCTAAGGTTATACTACTTGTAGTATTACCATTAGGTGTACACTGCTTTGCAGAACAACGCTCCCTTAAATATATGGGAAACTCCTGAGTCAGGCTATTATGGAATTTTTTTTCAGGGCCTTCTGGCTGACTCAAGATAAAATACCGTATTGCAGCATCTGTTGTGTATCTTTAAGTCATTTCTGATTTACAAACTTCTTAGGGCAAACCGATTGTAAATTGTTCTGGTGCCGAGAGCATGTGACTTGCCCAGGGTCACTGTTGTGCTTCCGCAAGATTTCCCACTGTTTGTTCCTGTTGAACCCCTATTATGTATACAGTGTTCCCTTGCTACTTTGCGGTTCACTTTTAGCAGACCCGCTGTTTCGCAGGTTTTTGAAAATATTAATAAAATATTAAATATTAAATATTTACATCCAGTGGACGCCAGGGACCCCAAAAGTGCTGTGGCCTGAGGCATGGCAGGGAAGGCCTGCCTCCCTGGCCTCCACAGACCCCGAAAGTGCAGCGGGGAAGGCCTGCTTCCCTGGCCTGCTGCTGCCTGCGTGGCTCCGGAGGCATTGTGGAGGCCAGGGAGGCAGGCAGGTGCTCTTGGGATGGGCCGGGAGGCAGGTAAGGAAGCACAGGTAAGAAAATAATATATAAAATATATAAAATAATGTATAAATATTAAAATTAATATGGCATCCCTTATCGCGGGTGGTCCTGGAACGGAACCCCTGTGATAAGTGAGGGAACACTGTAGTTTGGGGGGTTAGTCTAGATAGCCTCTTCCTCCTTGTACTTGAAACCTCCCTCACCCTGTCCTTTTAATACTCTTCTCAGGGGCAGAGCCTCAGCCAAGACCCTCCTGGTTTCTTTATTTATTTTATTTATTTATTTAATACACTTATATACCGCTAATATCTCAGCCTAAAACGGCGACTCATTGCGGTTTAACAACAGTTAAAAACAATATACAATTTAAAAACAGCAACACTTAAAACAATACAAATTATTGGGCCACCAATAATAATACCATGCTTCTCATCACAAAAATCACAGTCCAGAGTTCGTCATCCATAATTAACCAGTCCTTAGTCCATAGATTCGGTGGTAACAACTAATTGAATGCTTGTTTACACAACCATGTTTTTAATCTCTTCCGAAAGACCATCAGCGAAGAGGCTGATCGTATCTCTATAGGGAGGGTGTTCCAAAGCCGAGGGGCCACCACAGAGAAGGCCCTGTCTCTCGTTCCCCCAGCCGCGCTTGGGAAGCCGGTGGGATAGAGAGCAGGGACTCTCCAGAAGATCTTAGGGTCCTGGTGGGCTGATAGGCTGAGATACGTTCGGATAGATAAGTTGGGCCAGAACCGTTTAGGGCTTTAAAGGCCAAAACCAGCACTTTGAATTGAGCCCGGTAGCATATCGGCAGCCAGTGGAGCTGGTGCAGCAAAGGAGTTGTATGCTCCCTGCGCCCCGCTCCTGTTAGTACCATGGCTGCCGCCCGTTGGACTAATTGGAGCTTCCGGGCTGTCTTCGAAGGCAACCCCACGTAGAGAGCGTTGCAGTAGTCAAGGCGGGATGTAACCAGAGCGTGGACTACCGTGGCCAAGTCAGACTTCCCAAGGTACGGTCGCAGTTGGCGCACGAGTCTTAACTGTGCGAATGCTCCCCTGGTCACCGCCGAAACCTGGGGGTCCAGGCTCAGCGCTGAATCCAGGTCACTCCCAAGCTGCGAACCTGCGTCTTCAGGGGGAGTGTAACCCCGTCCAACACAGGCTGTAACCCTATGCCCTGTTCGGCCTTCCGACTGACCAGGAGTACCTCTGTCTTGTCTGGATTCAATTTCAATTTGTTCGCCCTCATCCAGACCGTCACAGCGGCCAAGCACGGGTCAGGACCTGGACAGCCTCCTTAGTAGCAGGTGGAAAGGAGTGACAGAGTTGGACATCATCTGTGTA